GATTGCCTATACTCCGTTTCACCTTCAGTCCGAGCGCAGCAAACGCTAGGAGCTATCCCAGTCAATTCAGCGTTGAGAGAGTGTCATGTGACCTTGAGCTCTCTGCGTCGCTCTGGCCAACCGAAAAGTCACGCGATTTTCTCGCGACACTGGATCGGCTGGGATAGCTTGTGGCGTCCAGTGCGCTCGGCCTGAAGGTGGAACGGAGTATACCATTGGACTGAAAGCTGGGGAAGGTCATTCCGGTCTTTAAAAGCGGTGACCGTGTGCTGGCCTCAAACTACCATCTATCATATTTAGAAGCAAATCATACTTTTTACAATCATCAACATGGATTTTGTAGAGGTTTTTCATGCGAGACGTAACTCTTTGAACTCAAACACAAGTTAATCACTAACCTTGACTCGCAGGGCCAAACTGATGCTGTATTCCTCGACTTCTCGAAGGCATTCGACAGAGTTCCCCATCGTCACCTAATTTCAAAACTTTCTATCCTGGGTATCGACCCTTTGGTCCTTTCTTGGATTCGTGACTTTCTCTTTTCTCGCACTCAGTTCACTGTGGCTAACAACCATATGTCAGATTTTACTAAAGTTATATCTGGGGTTCCACAGGGGGCATTACTTGGTCCACAACTGTTTCTTTTTTTTATTAACGACTTATCAATTGTAGTCTTTGTCTCTTCGCTTACGATTGTGCCCTATATAGCAAAATGGACCTTTTTCCAGTAAGGAGTGCCCCATGACGGTTTCGCCGCCTACTACAAATGGAGGGCAACCGGACTCGCCTTCTCCCATAGGAACAGATTAGTGTCGCAAGAAAACAGTGCCCCCCAAAAATGGCGAAAGGGCGGTCAAGGTCAAGTGGAAAGGGTGTGCGCGTGCGCAGACGCTTACTGGAAAAAGGTCCATTACTTTGTCTGATGACCATTTTAATCTTCCGAGTGATCTTGACCTGATTCATGCCTGGTGCTCCAAATGGCTAATGTCATTAAACATGTCATAAAGTACTTTGCTTTACTTGGAAACATGCAACGTCATATTTTTCGTATTCCATTGGCTCTGGACTAATCATCTCTGCCTGCCTCCATCTATAAATATCTTGGTGCAACACTACCTAGTGACTTAACCTGGAATAACAACATTGAAACAGACTCAGCAGAGGCTTTGCGCACTCTCGGGTACATCAAAAGAAATCTGAAGGCGCCACCATCTCTTCTCCGGAAAATGGCATACGAAACTTACGTTGGACCAAAGTTGGAGTATGCAGCAGCAATTCGGAATGCTCATCAAATTTATCCCATTAACCATCTTGAGTCAGTTCAAAATCGCACGGCCACGTCGATTCTTAAATTACCGAAGAACTAGTGTCTCTGCACTAAAATGCCAGCTGTATAAGTCGCGTCACAAGATATATCATGCTTAACGCCATTTCATAAAATTTTCTATTATAATCTAATGCTTAATAACTCACTCATACTTCCTCCTTGAAAAGCATCGTCTCGACTAAATCACCCCCATGTCACGTATCCCGGATCACAAACTACTTCAACCAATCAGAGAGAGAGAGAGAATAAACTTTTATTCTGAGCATTTCAGCACAATGGTCTGTGCCGGAAGGAAGGGCTTCCCTCTTTACGGAGATCCTATACGCTGTCTTATCTGCCTGGCCCCTGTTGACCAATTGAAGCTGATTCTCCAGGGCGGGGCTGGACAGCAAGTTCTGCCATCACTCTACAGGGGGAAGGGTGTGGGTGGTGGGTGGTCTTGATTGAATCTACACTCACCTATTTTGTGACGGAGGGCTCCTATCTCTTGGCACACTGGGCAGTTCCCACTGTATTGAGTGGGGAACATATGCGACTGAGTAAAAGGGGGTGGGGGAAGGACCCCGACTGAATTTGCCTATATGCTACCTGTTCCTCCAGCGTTAACTTAGGATGCGGGGCTGGCAGTCTTTGCCTCTCCTTGCAGTAGAATGCGACTAGTATTTCCTTTGAGGTGACCATGGGTTGGTCCTGCACCTCTTCCACGGCTGTGGCCTGGTAAATCAGCGTGCGGGCATGCTGGTGAGGAAGTTTGTTGCCCTCTACCACGGAGGGGGCAGGTACCCATTCAAATTCTATGGGCTCCTTTGGGGGTCTTTTGTTTTTGAGCACCTGCAGCGCTTTTCAGGACACCAAGTCCGACTGGAAGCTCCGGTATGCTTAGTGTGAGTCGGTCATTACCCTGGTTGTGCCTGGCCATAAGTGACCCCGTCTTGTTCCGCAATGCTTTGATCACTCTTTTTGCTAGTGTATTTATGTACCAGTTTTATTTCACACACAATTGTTCTCACTGCTTATATTACTTACCAGCACTGTAGGTGTCAGCCACCTGTCTGTTCATGTGTTGATTTTTTGTATTTTTCATGTACTTCCCCCCCCCCCCCCCCCCCCAACAGACACACACACACACTCCTTATGTAATGCTCCTGTTGGGGCCTTTAAAGTTACAATGAATAATATGTATATATATATAAAGCTACCAGCAACATTGGAAGAATTTAGGAGCAACAAGCTTGAATTCCTGTGCCGACGCGATGCAACTTCACACATACCTTGAGCACATTATATAACATTTCCACCAGATCTGATCAGCATTCCTAACCAGTTTTATTTTCATATGTTCAGTGACAATGCAAGCCAGTTTTAGATACTCTACTTTTATAATATTACTTTTCCGTACTTCTCATTGTAACATTTTCATGGCGAGCATACTGTTCCCCAGATCACGAGAGCCGCACACAAGTAGCGAGCCTCAGTTTGGGCATCTAGGACGTAGTACGTAGCTGTTGTGCGTCTCGTACGCACTGCAAAATCTGCGTAAAACGATCCAAACTTCTTTCAGCAAGCGCTGTGACCCAAGGGGGTATCGGAGGTCGAGTGTGTTAGCGCACCGCAGCTCGTACGGCGAAAGGTCCCGCTGCCAGGGATCCCCACCCCTACCCGTTTCGATCTGTTGTGACGCACAGACCCCAGGCTAGCAGTCGTACTGTAGTGGCTAAATTTTCTCATCTAAAGCCTGAAACGGTGTCGCCAGAACCTAGACAGGCCGATCGCACGCTATTTAAAATAGTGAACGTCTTATTTTCTTCCGCTGTGCCCAAAATGACGACAGTGGATGCGATTGAAAGACCAGCGGACAGGCTACCACTCTTGCCTTCGAATCGCTCGGGAGTCGGGCGACCTGCATTTGCACCATGATCGAAGAACCAGAAAGAAGCGATGTCAAATCACTTTGACACAGAATCACTCCAAGCTTCATTGCTTGTGCCCTTCAGCTCTGCGCGCCGTCAGCCGTATCAACGCTAATCACAATTAATCAACGCCTGCCGCGCGCGTTCCGCCGCTCATACAAACAACAACAAACAATCAGGGTGTTATGCTGCAGAAAGTTACTTCCGCCAGTTTTAGCGAAATGCGGAGCTCAACCTGGCTCAACTCCTGCTCAACCGACGTTATTCAAGGTATTGAATTTGGCGTAAGGGTAGTGTGTTTGGGGTATGCGAAAAAGACTACGGTATTGACTATGGCGTACGCCGAAATGACTACGGTATTGATTTTGGCGTACGCCATAACCACTACCGTAGTCGAAGCGGAGGGGTAGTGAGATCGGCGTCCTACACCTCCATCCCCCCCCCCCCCAAAAAAAAATTAACAAAAAAAAAAAAAAAAAACTGCTTTCAGTTTTTAACGCTAGGTGACGCAAGCTACCACCCGTCGTAAAGAGTGCAGTCGTTAGCTATTTATCCAGCCATAGAGTTATTATAATGTACGCTAGAGGTTCAACTGGCGCTAGTGTCTATGCGACTTCCGGGAGGCAAATTGAAGCAGACAGCAACCAGTCTACTTTTGCGGTGCTCCTGTGCATTCCTATGGGAAAACGGGCGTGAAATTTGCCTCTTCGCCGAAAAATAACACGAATGGCTTTTATTATTTCGGTTGTACCGGATAGTATGTACACTTATTAATATTGTAAAAGTGTAATTGCTTTAATTACAGCAATTTTCTTTACCACTGAACGATGTTAAGCTTCGCTATATTTCAGGCCCAAACCTATGTTCCATGGCAGGTATGTAAAAACGAGCGACGATTCTACGCAAACTAACGGTCGAAAAGAATGTAGGGTGTGTTCAAGGTTCGCTAGCATTGCGGTGGCGCTTATATATTGCTAATATGCCCGTCCTGTCACTCTATGAAAATGACTCCGTCGTGCATCTTTACGACGGTTAAAAAACATTCGAATGTAAGAAATAAAGTACGTGGACTACGAAAGGTGCGCCTTTTTATTATTTCCTATGTCGGACAGTTCTTATCGGACCCCTGTTCTCTAACTTCTCCCTATTTGCAAAGATTTTAAGCGTGCGGTTGATGATTTGAACCCAGAACATGCATCTTCGCACATATTCATGAGCAGAAAGAATAAAGCAGTACTTATTTATTGCAAATCGGACTATATTAGGTGGCTTTCAATTTATTTTGATCGCCTGCATGCACAAGGAGTTACTTATTCATTGTTACTGCGTAGTTCTTGCCGTCTCTCTTGGTTTTCCACATGTCCTTCGTTCGCTTGACACGCCATGGTGGAAAGTGCCGATGCCGTGTTCGCGCTAACAGTGTCCGACAGTGCACATAAATACACGTACGAAGCCGTTTTAGCACCGTTTTGAATCCGATGAATTTGAAAGAAAAACGCCGTAACTGACGAATTATTTCGTCGGCTTGACTGAGAAATGTTCCAAGCTTCCTAGTACGTACGAATTATTCGTGATATTTGCTCTTATATTCGAGCGCGGAGAGAAAATGTACTCGCTTTTTCCCATAGAAATACATTACCGGAAGTCAATTTCCGACTGGTTGCTGTCTGCTTCAATTTGCAGCAGCACACTAGCGCCACTTGAACCTCTAGCGTACATTATAATAACTCTATGTATCCAGCCATCCACCAAGATGGCGTTAATGGCGTCGTCCGCCCGGTGGTCCGGTTGACACGGTCAGCCCGGTGTTTAAGAAGTTTGAGAGCTACAACTCCCGTTTGAATGGTTCGAACGACCGATCGTTCATACTCTTTGAGACCTAAGAGGCGTCCGCAAGCGCTGCGAGCTTTTCGCTATTAATTGCTCTAGTTTTAACCGTCTATCTTTTCCCCGAAGCACGCCACGCCATGAGTTTAAAACCGGTGGTGCGGGTACGACAGCTAGGCAGAATGGCCTTCGCGGAAGCGTACGGCATTCAGACGCAGACAGCAGAGGCTCTCCGGCGAGAAATTATCGCGAAACCAGCTGTGTTACGCCGCAATACTCTTCTGTTGGTCGAACACGAACCGGTGTACACGGTAGGGATTCGTTCCAAAGGCTACACGTCGGAGGACGAGCCCAGGCTACGGAAACTCGGAGCAGACTTCGTGAAGACGAACCGGGGCGGTTTAATCACTTTCCACGGGCCGGGACAACTGGTTGCGTACCCGATCCTGTACCTGGGTTCCTTCAACGAACAGAAGAGCATGCGCTGGTACGTCTGCCAACTCGAGAAGACCATCGTAGACACGTGCGCCCACTTCGGCCTCCGTGCCGACACCACGCAAGAAACTGGCGTCTGGATCGGAGACAATAAAATTGCCGCCATAGGTAACGCCCCCACTCATTCCGGAAATAGACGACGCTCTCGAAAATGGTTTCATTCACAAAGAGAGCGCACAATGGCATCATCAAACGGCCCCGCTTCGTGGAGGCCAAGGTGCTTGCGGCCCCTGCGAAGGACAGAAAGATGCGGTGGCGATTTCTTCTTGCCCGGTGCCTCCTGACAATAGGATTGAGCTTTTTCTACACTGATACCCGAGTCTGTTTCCATATTTGCAGAAAACTAAGATCGCTGATGTTGTGCGGCCGGGGTTCCTAACTACGAAACGGAGGGCACCCATATTCTGCGGGACAGAGGTGCTTACTATACACCCGCGCATAAATTTGGACTCGTACCTTGAGTATAGTAGTCTTTGTCAACTATATTGTACTACATTGTGGAGGCTAGCGCAGCTTCCACAGTGCTGCGAGAGGCTTTGTCTTGTGTCTCGTTCATTGCGTCTCGTTCGCAGATGCTCGTGCCTCAACAGTGTCTGAGCACTGTGGAAGGCTTTGAAATGTGCCTCTCTGTACTCCGTTCAAGAAGCTCCGCTTTCAGCGCGAGCTTTCCATCCTTGCTAACACGAGTGTGAAGGCGTGCGAAATCAAAGCACTGCGGAAGCCAGCGAGCTCGCACTGGAGGAGGAGTTTTTAGCTTTGGCCTAAGGGGGAGCCGAGTGTAGCCGTAACAACCAAGTACAAAACAGTCCACAGCGAATACAGTTCGACTGCAATTCATGTGGTACCACAGTAAAAGTACCATGTGCGAGTACATAGCTGCAATAAACATATTACACTCATTTGGCTAGGAGTGCTCATATATTTCGTTTCACCTTCCAGTGTACCGCAACGAGCTATCTTGGCCAACTCAGTGCTGCACGTGTGCCTAGTGACTTGAGGCCCCTCCCAACCCCAAGGTCACATGATACCCTCCGAGCCATAAATTGAATCTCGTAGACGAGTGAAAAAAAAAGGCACAATGGATCCCAGGCGGAGCACACAGGAGAGCTTGGACAAAACCTTACACACGGGATAAAGAAGACGCATAAAAAGAAGGGCATGCACACACGCACAGCTTCTCTTCTCCCAACAGTTGGTATATTTTTTTCTCTGAGCAACGCACAGGCTCTTTCTTTTTAGACATCCCCCTCCTCCTGCGCTTTAGTGACACTCGACGTAACCTCGCAGATTTATTATTCGTCCAGATTCGCGCACTGGTTAGGATTTCCCGTGCAATAGACTTTTCAAAAGTGTTCGCCATCTATAGTAGGTTGCAGATAAAGAGTTGAATGGAAGCTCGTCTTCCCACTTTAGCAGAGGCCATGCTGGAAAGCAAGCAAAGTGAAAAGGGGAGCTTCCCCTCACCGACAATAGTAGCTGCTGCGCCAGTCATCCGAGTTTGCCATTGTTTGGGCGCAAACTCTAGGCATGTATTGGATGCGACAGCTGCACCCCCCTTTTGCATCAACTTGGCTTGCATTAGGAACGAGTGCATTTGGCGAGGACTCTTATAGAATTGAGTGCTTTGAGCGCAAGATATGGCGACCGCCAATGTTGCTCTATGGGGTTTTGAAAAAAGTCTGTCGGGACCCCCTGGAGGGCATGCCAGCAAACAGACTCTGATTTTGTGCACTTGGACGTTGCAGGAGTGCACGGCAGCAGGTACGTGACGACGCACGGCGTGGCCCTCAACTGCAGCACGGACCTGGACTGGTTCAGCCACATCGTGCCCTGCGGCCTCCGGGGCAAGGGCGTCACCTCTCTCAGCCGGGAGCTCGGCAGAGAGCTCGGAGTGGCCGAGGCCTCTCCCGTGTTCCTCGACTCTTTCCGGAAATGCTTCGGCTGCCAGACCGTCCCTGACTGGCCACCCAGCCCGCTCTGATATTATATGTGCCTCACTCTGCATGCATTTATGAGCATGGACCTCTTCGCCGACTCGAGAGCTTCGATGTGCTCCAGAGGGCATTCCTTCTATCGAGGAATTGGCTCTGTTGAGCCCCAATATAGGTCAGTGTGTTCCTATTGTGGTTTCTCTTTTTTCCTCCTGGTTCCTTCTAAGACGCCTCTTCCCTCTCCTTCCGCACATCGTTTCATCCCCGGAATCCTCCAACCCCGTCTTTTGCCGCGTGGCAGCAGTTATTCTTAAAATGATGGATTTGAGACAAATGGGCGGAGCAAGTCACAAGTCTAGTTAAGCCCCAGGTGGGACCGCCCTTTCGGCAACATCGAGTGGTCATTTTTTATGCTCTGTAACATCTCAGCTGTGCGCAATGGCACGGCTCGGAAACGGCGGCTGAATTTAGCCTGTCGTTCCCGGATTTGCTCAATATTTTAGTAGCACCATACCTACAGGGTGTTTCTCGCAATGCGGGCCGAATCATTTCTGCGAAAGTATGCGTTGCGCAGAAAAAAGGTTAATGTCGAATTGGTTTCCGTCAAAGAACCCATTTAGAAACAATAATGTTCAATATAATTAGTTTATTAACTAATTTACAGGAACAATCTTTTTAATTTGTATGTTTAAATGTATGACTTTAATTAGAAACTTTCTGGGCATCATAGAAAATTACTAAATCGATTAATTTTAGAAACTTATAAGGTGCAGGGAGAAATTTACGGTTTTCCGAATAAACTCTCAATTTTTTGTGGTTTCGGTTACCTATTGAAGTGCATCTTTGTGCCAACGGTCTTGCACCTGTGGCCAAAGAGCTATTGTCTCGCCTCCCTTGTAAGGAAGTGTAATGCTGAATAGAAACTATCTGCTGTTCATGTAACATTGCAATTTTTTATTCTTTGGTTCCCCTCCATTGTGCCAAAATTGCGTAACAGTGCACATTATTTGCGCGCCTTGTCCACAAGGTGTGGCAAGACCGCTGGCACAAAGATGTACTTCAAGAGGAAACGAGAAAACGCGTCCAACTTTAGGGTCTTTCCAAAACACCAAAAGATGCTCTACAACTAGGGTTCCCTGTTTTCGGATACATCTGATAAATCCTGAAAAACACTCACTGGTAAAATTTTCGGCAATTCGAAGTTATCCGAAAAACTCAGAATTTCGAAGTCACGATGGCAAGATAAAAGGCAAAAATCTTGGTATTTTACGAATAAAGTTTGAGCACACGTTTTAAATAAAGACCAATTCAGATTTTTTTATTAGTATTATATTGACAAAAGGAAGTGTCCCGTTTATCTTGTCAAGGTTCCTTCAGTACCGTGGGCCAGTGTAGTTGACTCTCATTAATTCAAACTCGAGGAAGCCACGAATTTTGTTTGAATTATCAAAAATTCATCTAAATATGATTCAAGATAAAATTATGAATTGCCATATGAATGGCAACTCGTACAAAGCAGATATGCCACACATGAAACATTTGTGAAATGTATGACATAAGTATCTCTCAAAAATGTTCTTTGTCGTGGATTGCTTAGACAGCACATGACAACTCAACTCGTCCGGCCAAGTTGTTTAATGTGGTCTATATTACGTGAGCGATGAAAACGAGCACCGCACGGCAGTTTTCATAACAACTTGTGCAGACACTGTGACGTGGTCTTATGCCGTGCCGCCACGTCACAGCGTCCGCGGAAGCAGCTATGGACATTTCCGCGTGGTGCCCACTTTCATAGCTCATGTGTGCCCAGAGTGCCCTGCTTGAGCCCCGTTGAGTGTGCTTCCCACCGAGCACCGGTGCACTGCAGAGAAGCAACACCTGCGGAAACAAGCTTTGCGGGTGTTGCCTCTCTGCAATGCACCGGTGCTCGGAAAGAAGCGACCTCAACGGGACCGCGAAAACAAAAAGTATGAATTACTCAAAAACGCCGTTCGAATTAAGCGGCTTTTGAATACATTAAAAACATAGCGGGTGTTACAAGGAAAGGTTCATGGTAAGGAACTATGTCAAGGTTCCTATTTAATCAGTTATCAAACCCCGGATCCGACTGAAAGATCCCTTCTCGATTTCCAACTCGGAAAAAGTTATACATGCTCTTAAAAATGATAACATATGATACCAAATGTATTTTTTTGTTTTTTTTAATGCGGAAGATTTTTTTTTATTCAGTTCTTCACGACCATCTGTTTGTAGCTGTAAGAGAATGTATAAAAAAAATGGTACAGTGTCCTTCCAAAACAAATCCGGCCTACATCTTGAGGCATTGTTGGAGCTATTGACATTCTATCCAGCTTCTACAGTCATCTCATTTAATGGTAATACTTATCTGCAAAAGAAAGGAATTTGCATTGATATGTGTAGCACCAGTGTCATGCAACATTATCTTGTCCAAATGCGATGAGGCCATTGCCCAGCGGGTATCCGACAACTAGGTGTGAAGAATTTACCGATATATGGACCCAGTAAATCTGATGTAAGTGACGAGCAACAAGTCGGCAACATACGTTCAATCTTCACTGAAAAGGCTCAACGACTCGAGTTTACACACAAGCTACCCACAAAAAACAGCCTTTAATTTCTCGATCTGCGACTACTATTCCAATTAAACCACACGTGCTGGATGTATATGCTATGATTAAAGAAACGTTTACTTCAATACGAGTCTTGCCATTCAAAACTCATTAAAAATTGCAATTGTCAACAACTATCTTAGCGCAGCCCTCAAGAAGTCATGTGACCGCAAGGCGGGACAGAGCCTTTGAGGCACAAATACAACCACTTAAGACCTCTGGATACACAAGTACCACCTTGTACACTGCTGTAGAAAGAATGATGAACTCTTACAGAGAGAAAGAAAAAACCAAATATGAAGGACAACACCTGGCTGTGGTGCCCTACATTCACAGGGTATGTAGATTACAACCCCAGGTTCCTAGAAGTGTGTCTGCTGATGCAAATGACATCGGAAGCGGTTGTCACACACATAAAACCTGTGTTCGTCTGTCATGGGAAACCTGACGTGTTCAGGTCAGACAACGGACTGCAGTTTGTGTCTAAATGTTTTCACGAATTCACAAGCAAATACCAGATTCGCTGCATAAAGAGCAGCCCACACTATCCCAAAAGTAACGGAGAAGCAGAACGCATGGTAAACGCTGCCAAAGACATCCTAAAGAAGGCCTAAGACCCCAACTTGGCACTTTTGATATACAGAGCTACACCAGGCCCCTGCAGGTTCAGAATAACTGAACTACTCGTGGGACGGCAGCTTCATACAACGTTGCCTATGTTGCCATCCCAGCTGATTCCAAAAATGCCAAATTGTGCGGATTTTTAAAGAAAAGATAAAGAATAAGAGAGACGGAGGCAAGCCCAAGGGTATGACCAATGGCACATAGTAAGCTGCCACAAGAAACCACCCATCGGTGGTTCTGTTCGGGTCAAAAACCCTGGCACGCAGGGGCAGATTGGGAGGAAAACTGACTACCCGAGACCATACATGGCGGAGACACCGTCCAGCTAGGCAACTCGTCCGGAATACCTACCATTTAGTCCCATCAGGAACACCAAGAGAGGACAAAGAACAGACATCCGAACAAGAGCCCTGTCTAGAAGAGAATGCTCACACCCCGTGAATCAGCAACGTTGAACCGACATCCAAACAAGTTCTCAAATCCAAAGCGAAATCCAGCTGTGGCTCTTGTTCTAGAGGATTCGGACATCGACTGCAACACAAAGGAAAAGGAGCCCTACAAGTGCACTAGAGCTGGCCGACGAATCGTTTGACCCCAGAGATTCAGGAACTAGTTCCACGTCCCCTTTTAGAGAGAGGGAAATATTCACGTTGATGTGTTTCAAAAAGCCCCGAGAGGGGGCAGCCAGTTGGGCGCGCGTGCATGACCAAGCACGCTAGTGTTATTCGGTCTGTTCCGTCTTCCTCCTTGTGGTCAAACAGAATTATCACAACAATCACGACTCTGTCACCCTCATGATCAAGTTTTGGTTTCCTTCCGTGTCTACATCACCTACCAAAATCTCGTATTAGTCCACGCGAGCTGCTTTGCTAACATGTCTATAAAACGTGGCCTTCAGACGCTTATTTTTTTTAAAACGGGCACCTCGCAGGAATACGGCAGCCCTTGCTATGAGCAAAGCAGCTGGGACAAATGAGGAATTCGAGACACAGCATCAATATTTAACATATGCATACTACACTATTATTGAAAATAAGCATTGCATTGAATGGAAATGATTGAATATGAATGTTTACCTTGCATATCATGGCGTCTAGTGTCCTTAGCAAAATGTTTTGTCCGTCAATAATTATTATTGACGGACAAGACATTTTGCTAAGGGCACTACACGTTGAGGATTTCAATAATTTCCTTTCTTAGTTGTGCCTACCTAAAATTGTGCAACATGGCAGGTGAGCCTTGCACCCACAATCACAGCAGTGTATGCCCAGGTGGCCAGAGTTAGCTCTGATGCTATTTATTGTTGTTGTGTTCTCTGTCCCTTACACATTTTCCCACACGAAAGAGAAACAAATACACCACTTCCTCTGCCCACTAAACGTAGCTGTTCTGATGTTTTTTGGTTCAGCTTACCGTTCAGTGGGAATAAAGTGTGTTCACTTTCCCACCGAGCAGTAAGCTGTGCTAAGAAACATTGGAACAGCTTCGTCGAGTGCGCAGAGGAAGTGGTGTATTACTTTCCCCCTTCGTGTGGGAAAATGTTCATAGGACAGTCTGGACGATGCCTTAATAGGCTCCGAGCACACAAAAACAGTAGCACCACGGCTAACTCTGGCCACTTGGGCATACACTGCCGTGATTGTGCGTGCGAGGTTCACCTGCCATCTTGTACAATTTTAGGTAGGCACGACTATGGTAACTAGGGAAATTATTGAAGCTGAACACATTGTCAGGAATTATAAAAACTGTATTAGTACACCATCTTTTGAACCTGACAGAAAAAGAACAAATTTTTTTGGCATCTAGGAGCTGGGTGCTCGTGATTCAGGAAATTCGTTAGTTCCATATGTAGAAGACGAAGTGTAAAAAAATGAGTTGTATTTGTCAGCGCAGTTGGTTTGATTTTTCTTTTCTTTTTTGTGTGTAAAGAGTGAGTTTACAGTGTGAGAGTGTACTTTTGCAGTAGTGCGCTGTAGTGTGTGTTAACAAAGAGGTAGCTCGAAGCAAAAACGACGCAATACCCGTGAATTGATGGAAGGGAATCGGTAACCGAGTGGGCTAACATGTCTCAGCTCGGAGCGTGGAGCGAAGGCTTGGATGAGTCCATACCGGATGAGTTTCGTACCGGCACGTGTTCGTGTAATCACTACTGCGTGATGCAAGTTAAAAACCCCAGGCGGCACTGTACTGCACTGACTAAATTTCTCATCTACAGCTAAAAGACCTGTCAACCGTTGAGGTGTACCCGGCGTACCTAAAGCCCCTTCATACGGAAAAGTCGCGACATCCTTTGAAGAATGCCGCCTGTTATCTTGGGCCAATCCAGGTGGCACTACACTTGACGCGCGGGTGTAAAATAGCAAAACATAAAGATAAAAAGTGTGCACGTCAGAGGAGCAGGGAGAAGGAATGTCTATGCCGTCGGAGTGCAGTGCATGCTATGAGCTCATGTCGCCAATCAAATAACGCCGACTGTGCAACCACGGAGTTCATCGTCTTTCTTTGAGCACATCCTTTGAGGCCGGTAGACCATGACAGTGCACTATATTAGCCTGTGTGTATGTATTTTGCGTGTCTTTCAGCCTCTGACTGTGCTCTGGTTCAAGTATAGGAAGGACGTCTGCTATCTTGGGCCGATCCAGGCGGTGCTACAGTCGACACGCGGGTGTAATAAAAAAACATAAATATAAAAGGTGTGCGCGTCAAAGGAGGGGGAGAAGATGTCGCTACCTTTTTAATTCAGGAGCATTAGGTATACCAACATCAAGGCAGACCAATTTTTTGAACTGATGGATGGCTTTGGATTGGCTCGTATTTTTCTGGCCTTGATTTGATTCTGGAGTCAAAAATATGTATATATTTTGTGAAACCAAACTGTTTTCGTTTACCAAGCTGTTGCGTGCTAAACCAAAACATCAGTTGATAATACTCTTTCAATGCATACTGCAAAAAAAAAGAGAGAGAGAAAAGAAAAAAGTTAGACAAAAAAAAAATAGCAGCACTTTTGAAATGAAACTTCTTTTTTATGGCATCGGGACACATCGGGAACTTTTTTTTACTCAAGCGCAACCTACGGAACTGGAAGGAAAATAAAATAAAAGTCAGCCTTTGCTCCCATGATCGTCCACTTGGACAAGATTTCAGGAGTGTCCAAAAAATGATGTTACAGTGCACGTCCTAGGGACAACTATTACAATGAGATATGGCACGCGAGGATCCCAGAGGGACCTTTTTGGGACATCCCTGGGACATGTTATCTGGGGTCACTGATCTCCATGACAATTGCTGGATCGCACTTCCCGCTCCCGCGAGTGAAGCCACCGGACGTCCATCTTGCTCGTAGCCAATTTGCGGTTTTGCTAGCATTGCAGAGGCTGGCGTCAGCGTGCTGCGATCAGAACTTCCTTGGCACGTTGAAGTACTGCGTTTCTGTAAGACTTTGTACTACTAATTTGATTGCCATAAGCGTCTAGTAAACAAAACAAAAAAATGCGCCACTGATGCCACCCTTTCCCCTCCCTTCCCCCCCCCTTTCTTCCGTTGCCACTGGACACTGGATCAAGCTTGTTTCTGAACCACGAGTGCCGCAAGTTACAAATACAGTAGTTGGAGTAAAAGTAAAACGCTGCTCCAGAGTTACCTACAGCTTCAAGCACATTGCACAAAACACATCCGCACGGCGCTGAAACGAATCTTGATCGGTATCTAAGCGTGCGAAGGCACAGAGACGCAGCACTTTGGCATGCCAAGGAAGCTTTGATCAGGCCGCGAGACCGGCGACACTTGCTTTCGACAAGTTGTGCCTTTACATACGGCTTCAGGCACATTGCACTCGCAAAACACATCTACACGGCGTCGATTCTTGATTGGTATCCAAACGTGCGAAGGCTCAGAGACGCAGCACTTCGGCGTGCCAAGCAAACTTTGACTCTGCCGCGACCGGCAAGTCTCAACGGTTACGCAGGGTCTTAGAAAAACCTCTTCGGCGAATGACAATGAACGGGTTGAAAACGTGTCTACAGCACGCTGCCGCCAGCCTCTGCAATGCTAGCAAAACCGTAAATCGACTATGAGCAAGATGGCCGTCTAGCTGTATCTCCACTCGCGCTACAGTGAACAAGCGGGGAAGCGCGATCCAGCAATTGTCATAAAGATCTGTGTCTAGGGTCTTCTCTGCAGCTAAGTAAACAATTTCAGGGACCAGGTCACGAAATTAGCTTAAAAATAGACAAGGCATATGCCTACAAACCCGATAAAGGCCCGTTTACACACTTGCAACCGAGTACGACCGAGACGGACAAGACCTGTTGAAGCCTCTTGAAATTTCTTAGGACGAGAGAACACTCTGGCACGCTGGCGCCATCTATGCGGTGACCCTGGAACTGCATTTCACAAGAGCGAAGGTTTCGCGGGATTTCCGAGGTCAAATGTGCGTAATACGTATAAGAAGTGCTCGTTTATAACGTTGAAAAAAGTTTTTCGAGCCTAGAAAGAAAGGATAATGCACGAGAGATATAGAAAATATGCCGGACCACCAAGTTTACACGGCTACCCAATAGATGGCGCCAGTGTGTCCTCTTGTAACTTGTAAAAGATTTTAAGAAACCCAGTTTTAAGAGGTCGTAAGAATGTGAAAGGGCCTTTAGAGGTTGCAAGTGTGTGAGCGGGCCTGAATACAATGGCTTAATGAGAAGTGTAACAAACGAAACCGGAGAAGCGGCACAGCATTGGAAGACGGCTGCGGGTGGAACGACGGTGCTGGCGCTTGCCATAGAGATCATACATACTAACTCCAGAGGGTAAAGGTGGGTGAGGAGGAGTGGCAAATCCCGTGCACCGACACCCGAGGTCCCGAGTGAACGATCGCAAAAGAGAGCGACAGAACATGAGAGAAAGAAAGCAACGTTGCCATGGTAAACGCGAAGAGTGAAAACTCTCAGCAATATAAACAGTGATAATTTAACATTGTAAACTAAATTCTGAGCTATTCTAAAGGCCCGTTCACACTCTTGCGACCGAGTACGACTGAGAGAGACGAGATCTCTTACAACCTCTTAAATGTTTTTAGAATGAGGGAACATACCTACCTCGTTGGAACATACTGGCATTGTGGCGCCATCTATGCGGTGACCCTGGAACTGCATTTCACAAGAGCGAAGGTTTTGCGGGATTTTCGAGGTCAAATGTGCGTAATACCCATAGAAAGGCTCGTTTATAACATTGTCAAAAGTTTTTCGAGCCAAGAAAGAAAAGATAATTCTCGAGAAATAAAAAAAAATATGCCGGACCGCCGAGTTTACACTGCTTCCCAATAGATGGCGCCAGTGTGTTTTCTGGTTTAACAAGTTTTAAGGAACCCAGGTTTAAGAGGTCGCAAGAGTGTGAACGGGCCTTAACGCTTATAAAAAGCAATAAAGTCATTACGCTGCATTAACTCCCCTTCTGTCGAAATCTCGGAAATCTGGTGGTTGCGCAGTTTCGTATTCCTCAACTGCGCCCACCCGCGCCCCACCGGCGAAGCCGGGTATATGGTTTAGTTTAGCGTTAACGCAAGGCCGTACTTCTGCGCGCTATGCAAAAAGAAAGCTTCGAAAGGAATGCGAATATCTTTCCACCGGTAAGTTCGTGGATTGTTGAAGTTCACGAAACTGCTCTGATGATGTAACCGTGTTTGGGACCCCGAGGGTCTGCCTGCATGCTCCGCCGCTTGCGGCAGCCAGAATGTATGCGAAAATGGCGGACCTTTTCCTCTAGAGTTAGTATGTATGATCTCTATGACTAACTCTAGAGGAAAAGGTCCGCCATTTTCCCATACATTCTGGCTGCCGCAAGCGGCGGATCATGCAGGCAGACCCTTGGGGTCCCAAACACGGTTACATCATCAGAGCAGTTTCGTGAACTTCAACAATCCACGAACTTACCGGTGGAAAGATATTCGCGTTCCTTTCGAAGCTTTTTTTAGAGCGCAGCTCTTAGGGGCCCGTTTCCGGCTTGAGCGGCGTCGCCGTCGCCGTCGGCGTAACCGCGCGGTGCATCATGGGAAATGTCCCATAATGCACCGCGCGAGCCCTCCACTGGGGTCACGTGACCTCGTGGGGGGCACGTGACCCCCCCGAGGTCACGTGACCCCTCGAAGTCACGTGACCCCTGAGGTCACGTGACCCCCGCCGATGTCGCGTGACCCCCCGATGACGTCACCGGCATCCACATCGTCATCGTCATCATCACTGATGACGTCACCGGCATCCACATCTTCATCATCACTGATGACGTCACTGGCATCCACATCGTCATCGTCATCATCACTGATGACGTCACCGGCATCCGCATCGTCATCATCACTGATGACGTTACCGACATCCGCATAGTCATCGTCATCATCACTGATGACGTCATCAGTGACGTCACTGATGTCACCGGCATCCACATCGTCATCATCACTGATGACGTCACCGGCATCCGCATCGTCATCATCACTGATGACGTCACCGGCATCCGCATCGTCATCGTCGTCATCGTCACTGATGACGTCATCAGCGACGTCACTGATGACGTCACCGAGATTCGCATCGTCATCGTCATCATCACTAGTGAAGTGATCAGTGACGTCACGAATGACGTCATCGGTACCCGCATCGTCATCGTCACTGATGACGTCATCAGTGACGTCAGTGATGACATCATCGGCATTGGGGGTCACGTGACCCCCCCCTGGTTAGTTTAACCCCCCCCAGTGCCCTTCCCTCCTCCTCAAGAGCTGCGCTCTTGAGGAGGCGTTACAGGGAGTTGTAAGTGGCTTTCACTTTTTTTGCGTAGCGCGCAGATGTACGTCCTCGCGTTAACGCTAAACTAAACCATATACCCGGCTTCGCCGGTGGGGCGCGGGTGGGCGCGGTTGAAGAATACGAAACTGCGCAACCACCAGATTTCCGAGATTTCGACAGAAGGGAAGTTAATGCAGCGTAATGACTTTATTGCTTTTTATAAGCGTTAGAATAGCTCAAAATTTAGTTTACAACGTTAAATTATCACTGTTTATATTGCTGAAAGGTTGCTTTCTTCGCGTTTACCATGGCAACGCTGCTTTCTTTCTCGTGTTCTGTCGCTCTCTTTCGCGATCGTTCACTCGGGACCCCGGGTGTCGGCGCACGGGATTTGCCACTCCTCATCACCCACCTTTACCCCCCTGGGCGCTTGCATCACCCTCGTTCCGGCTATGGCTCCGGCTTGGCCAACTCCGGCTGATTCACAGCTGCCGACTACACTGTCGTCTGCTAGTTTCACGTTTTTATTCACCTTCGAACACAAACCATGTCGTTGGAAGTTCACTGGAAACAAATAATTGTTCTTGAGGTATTTATATTAGTTATGAAGCGTGTTAGGGCGCCTCTCTGCCGGCCGACGAAGGCACCCTAACGGAGCTGCGGATTGAACCGCCACCTACACAGTCTTCGAAGGAGCGGCCGTTCCCGATGGATGGTGGAGGCTACGTGGTAACTACACTACTCCCCTTAAGCCACTGTACTGATAACGTTGATAGTCTATACTCCATGTCACTAGTTGCGTGCAGTGCAGGCGAATGCAACGCCAGGCGAGGGGAGAAAGGGCAAGCACTAGGAAGGCTGGGGACTAAGAAAAACACCCCCTCCCCAGGCGAAAAGCAGTCCACTTCCAGCTGGATTATGGAACTATAAAATGAGGCGTTCTAGCTGTACCGCCTCATTCCTCCATAATCCAGCTGGAAGTTCCATAATCCAGCTGGAAGTGGACTGATTTTCGTCTGGGTCTCGATCCTCTCTAACGTTCCTAGTGCTCTCCCTTTCTCCCCTCGCCCTCCTTCGCCTGCACTGCACACAACTAATGACATGGAGTATAGACTATATATTATTATAACCCTCCCCTTACCCCCCAAAAAATATTAAAGCAAGAAAATTGCGTTTGAGTAGTTTGAAAAAAACCATCCAACGTCGGGAAGTGTTTGGTGGGAAAGGGGGAGGGGGGTGCATAGAAATCAAAAATTTTGTTCCGGTGCCGCTGTGTTCCCTCTCTTCCCGCCCCCCCCCCCCCCCTCTTTCTCTTCCGTCGCCACTGGACACTGGATCAAGCTCGTTTCTGAACCCGAATGCGGCAATTTACAAAACTGTCGTCGGAGTAAAGTACCGCTCTAGAGGCACATACGGCTTTACACACATTGTACTCGCAAAACACATTCACACGGCGTCGATTCTTGATCGGTATCCAAGCGTGCGAAGGCACAGAGACGCAGCACTTCGTCACGCCAAGGAAGCTTTGATCACGCCGCGAGACCTGCGAAACTTGCTTTTGCTGAGTTTCGCTTTTATCCTGCAACACCGCACTTTCGTAAAAATTTTCCTGTATTCTCAACGGCAAGTCTTACCGCCTGCAACGGTTTTAAGAAAACATTTTCGCCGAATGACGACGAACGAGTAGAAAACGTGTCTTCAGCACGCTGCCGCCAGGCTCTGCAACGCTAGCGGAAAATGCGATTTAGACGCATACAAGATGGCCGTCCGGTGGCCGCCTCTAGCGCCTCCTCTATGATGTGGCGCGTGCCGAAACACAGTTGTTCTGTTGATTTTCATAGCTTCAAAACGACAGTATTTTTACTTCAATTTGTTTTATACAAATAGATTTCTTAAAATAAAATGACGTGAATTGTCTTCCTCCAGTTCGTAGGACGATCCTGCATTCCGCTCCGCTCGTCAAACCGCCGCCACCGCCGCCGCCATTTTCAAAGCAACTGTTGAGAGTTTTCAAATTGTGCAAGCTCCTCGAGCTGTCTACAGAACGTCTCTTTACTCGCGGTTTGAAGAAAAAAGACCGACAGGTAAGCAACGGCAGTCTACGATTTAGGTTACTAAGTAACACGCCGAAAAGATCGTTTATAAATTATATCCCGCGAATTTAGAGGGCGGCGTTCTCGCTTTCGTCGCCGCGTCGGTTGCGAGGAATGTCGCCCCCTTACCCTCTCGCAAACAGTTTTCTTTCAGTTAGAATGAGCTGAACACATTGCTTCAAGAGCATCCCCTCGTAACTGCCGGCCGCGACAGATGGCCAACCACTGCCATGAAATGACGCTGAGTCCGTCGATGGTCAGTGTTAGCGAGGCCATGAACGGTACGTGTAGCGTCTCCGGGAACGCGGACCTGTCGGGCACAAGCATGTCGATATGTTGCAGTGTCCACCCTCCAAGCTCGTCCCAAGTCCAGGATCTGCATCGTGGGCCCGCTCAAGAAGGACAGCGAACTGGTGCAAGCCTCCAAGGTGACAGGTCTTGGTTCTCTGGCGCCCTGGCAGCGCTTCGCGTGTCGTTACTGCAACGCTGCCGCGAGCTCTTGTTTGTGTCTAGAACTCTGCACGAATCTCACAGTCAGCTCGTCGTAGGTTAGCGAGGGAAGACGGGGAACGGCACCGAGGTTTTTTTCGTGGTGCAGCTCTAGAGCGGGCCAATCGAATGGGCTGCACTTAAGTCTGCTGGGATCAGCATCTGCTAGTTTATATGTATTGAACAGTGACCATGTCTTCTTCTACAATCCTTTCTTTTAGACTGCTGTTTATTTTGGGTGAAAATTTTATTTCCTTTTACGTTTTTACTCTAGACATGATTTCTGAATGTCAGATTATCCAATGCTGGCAAGACAAGTGCCTCATACCCAATACCTCGAGGAAGTTGCATGAAATATCCTAATGGGGGGAGCCTAGCTTCTGGGAAAACGACCATCCACTACCATTAAGTCCAAAAGACTGTTATAGTGTCCTTAGCGCTGGTGCAGTCTCAGCTTACATTAAGATTGGGACCGTATCGCATATTCAAACTTGCTGCTTCGAGTTACCGAGGTGCACGTTGCATGTGTGCCATACTTCCACGGTGTAAGAAGGCTCGGGTGGCATAGCAGCGTCTTCGGAGGCATCTAACTTTCGTCCTAGTTTCTCGTGCGTGTCACCAGATGGTGCCGCGGTCATCGAGCCCCACGAAGTGCACCTGCTATGCTGGGAGTGACCTGTTCAGCAACTGCAGCAAAACTTTGCACATGCTAAACTGAATGTGATAGTTAAACGTGGCACTTTGAAGTGGCGGATATTCCTGATGTTATGTAAGGCTATTAACTGTTCCAAAGAAGTGCTTCTGGCCAGTGTCATTTTCAACATTTTTTTCCATGTGCTTTTTCCTTTTGTAATGCAAAAAACTCAGATATGCTAGGCTGTTGAGGTCTTGACTATGAAACGGTAAATGTTGGACAGAGCAGTCGCACTATCGGCTTGTGAAAGAATAGATCACGAGGGATAGGACGCCGAAGTCCTCTTGCAGTATGCTTATTAAGTACACCCTGGTTCCACAGCAGGCAAAATGCTTCCCGCATTTGCGCATCTACTTTAAAAAATAAAGAAACAATGCATTGTCTACATACTTTTTACGAATAATAGTATATTTAAATGGACCACGTTTACATTCTAATGCATTGAAAGTGCCTTTGGGTGGGTGCTGCTTTTTGCTGTTGTGTCACTAAGCCGAAATGTCTACTAAAACTCTAATGAAGTTGACATGCTGACAGGACTCATTAAATGTTCCGGTGCACTAGAGCAATGAGGCATAGTCACGGCAGAAATACGCTTTCATCTATAGATTTTGTTTATTGAACAGAGAACTAATTTGTGAACATAATTCAGAAAGTAAACAGCTCTTACTCTAGTTGCAAGCAGCATTTGACGAACAAGAAGTATAATGGTGCACTGCTTTTGCATTTTCATGTGAGCTGAAACTAAATCGGTTGAAAATCGTCTCTTTTGCCAGAGCAGCTTTCCGTGGGCACACATGAGGACGTGGCCCTCATAGATGGCTTTCCACGATTTGCCCACAATCCTCGGATCAAAATGTCTCTCGCGCACAGAGTCTGTCGGCTGCATCGCTTCACGCTGTACCTTTAGGCGGTCCTCTTCTTTGGGAGTAGCAAAAAGGGACAACTTTTCCTTCTATGTTTTGTATCCCAGGCTGCACCTTGACACAAAGCACCTCTTCCCCATTGCCGACAACTTACAGAAGCCGGAACTGGCCAAAAACAAAACAATAACTGTGCAGCGCTACAGCCCAACGCATGCTACCGTTCGCGAAATGACTGCCTCGATGCTGGTGGCGTGCCCTTGCAGCGCGAGAGTGAATCGATTGCCGATGTTTGCCTCAACAGCTCTTTGGTGGAGGCACGGCGTTTTGCCATCCAGAGTATTTCTATTACTGCGCTTTCTTCCTTCGTACGGGCGAGGCAAGGCGGGAGCTGCGTGTCTCGTTCAAGGGAGAGCAGGACTGCTGGCACAAAGATGCGCTCCGACAGAAATGCGAAACCTAGAAATGCCTGCGAATTTAAAAATTTTTTTCGTTATGCCATGCAATGCTCTACGAGGCTTATATCTTGATAAAATTAGTGGATGTAGTAGCTTTTCATGATGGACAACAAGTTTCTAATAAAAACCATACCTTTAAGTTTATGGAAAGAGGATTAGTCGAAGTGAATTAATAAACTAGTTATATCAGACATTGTCAAGCTTCCCCAATGAGCCGTCTGACAGAGACCAGTGCGGCATTAGCCTTTGCTTTGCGCGATGCATTCTTTTCCCAAAATTGACCCACGTTTGGAGAAACACTGTAGATAGAAGCTGTCATTTCCAAATTGAAGCCTGTCCTATCTAACGGCAAAATATTTGGGCACAGAAAGCTCCTTCTTGGAAGTGGTGAGCAGCCACTTGATATGTCCTCCCGTTTCAGTGCCACGGGCTCCCCGTGCTGTTCAGCGACACGGGAGAGGAGTTTGTGGGCGACAGGGGTACCATCTTCGTGCTGGATTCGTTCGAGGGCCAGTCGTTCGAGAGGCTGAGGGTCCACTCCCTCGTACTCAGCCCGGTCGCAATCCTGCAGTGCGCCAGCAGGAGTTTGGTGAGCCCCTCTCATTTTGCTTGCCGATCAGAGATTGGCCAATCACTCAACTCGGGTCCCCGCAGACTTCCCGGTAGGTAAAAATTGGTCACTTAACCCAGGTGGCCCGAAGGCATCGGAAGTCGTGTTCTCCTCTTCCCGAGTTTCTTGGTGCATTGGGACGATTTGATTGACAAAAAAGAAGTAGGAAAAGCTGGAAAAAGTCTACGTCAAATGTGAACATGAATAGATGACGTGAGATGCGGTTGATGGATTAAACCACTGGTCGGCAACCAGCGGCCCGCGGGCCGGATCCGGCCCGCCAGGTAGTATCATACGGCCCTCAGCTTCCCGGTAACCCCCCCTACGCAGTGAGCTAAAGAAAAAAAAATAAATAAAGTTGACTAATTCGCTGCTCGTCTGCGAGCAGACTTTTTCACGAATAAAGTGCATAAAATCCAACTTCCGCTCACGAATGACTGACGAGAACCTCCACAATGTTACAATGTTTTGCGACTCGCAGTTAGCAGCTTGAATGTGGATGTTCGTAGTTTGACGAGCGCAGTTCAACACCAAAAGTCTCACTGAGAGGAGTCTCTAGGTTTTCGTGGAAATGTCGTATCTCATGTTGTTTGTCGTGAAATAAACTGTTCATTGTCTATTTATCTACGTCAATGTAAGTTCGTGCAAGTGCTTTTTTTTAATTTTAACTCTCCCCTCCCTCTCCCTCTTCTTCTTCCCCCCCCCCCCCCCCGCCCCCGCTGCTTGCCGTCCGGCCCGTTCCCCCTAGGCATCGCGGCGACTCGGCCCATTTCGCCAAAAGGTTGCTGACCACTGGATTAAACCATAAAGGCATTGATGCAAAATTATAAAATCTCGCTCGCGCCTCCTTGAACTCTAACCAGGCTAGTCGCACCATTTCAAAAGTCTCCTATACACCCAATACAGTTCCAGACAACAGAGGGAAACTCCGGACTGAACTAAGGGTACAATTGTAACAGGCAGGTTGTTGTGGAAAAGTAGCTTAATTCTAGAAATAACTCCACACTGACTGACAATATAAGAGACAAAATTTATGAGCGATACTAAATGTGCGATCCTATGTTTAAATTAGTTTGGCAGACATTTATACGAGACAATTTCGTAGACCTTTCTGAACAGGCATAGCAAAGATATGGTTCTATAATGTTTTACATCATCCGTTCTTCCACTTTTATGTACTGTACTGGCACAGTTATTGTCAAACCCGGCTATATCGAACTCGTTTACGTCAAATTATTCCTTATACTGAATCAATTTTTGCTCACAGTAATGTTACAGTGATAATATATAGCAAAAAGTATGGTTACATCGAACAAAACAAAAATAGCAGCCGCTACCGATATATTGAACTGCCAAGAGCGCCGTTTTGCTCTGCAAGCTGGCTTTTTCCCAACGCGAGTGGCCGGGTTTGGGGTTAGGGGGAAAGCCAACTTGCAAAGCACGTTGGCATTTTTTAATATTTTTTTCCAGGCGGTTGCGTTTACTGCTCGAAAGAAAGAAAGAAAAGACTTTTGCGGAGGGAGCGGGGAGAGGGTGCTCTGTGGGCTCTGTGCTCCCTCTCCCCGCTCCGTCCGCAAAAGAGATTATTGTTTTTTCTTCCAGGCGGTTGGTGCGGCCGCCCAGAAGAAAAAAAAGCCAGCTTGCTCTGCTAGCTGGCTTTCCCCCAACGCAGCTGCCGTTTGTTTTAGGGGAAAGCCTACTTGCAGAGCAAAACGGCGCTCTGCAGAAGGTGTTCCTGCTTGGACGTGCTCCATGCTCTCGGCATAGTTCGGCGCTAATGCGCGAATATAGAAGGCGGCGGCCTCAGCATTTTGGAGCCCGTCGATAGCGTAGAAATATATCATTATCGCGGATGCAGTGAAAAAAAAAAAAAACAGCAAAAGATGCAGGACTATTTCATTGTGTAGTATGTCAGGAGAAAGTAAATTTTTGAGTGTCAAATTCATTAAAACTTTTAGATCGAATTACCCGGCGTATCGAACTGGTTGACATTTTTTTTGCGAGTTCGATATAAACAGGTTTGACTGTATAGAAGGGAAAGTGGGGGTATGGCAAAAAACATGCCAAAGACACTTAAGACTGCTTACGTGTAGGAACGCAAAAGCATTATAGTCGTGCGGGTGATATGTTTTCGAGTAATGTCTCTACACAAATTAAAGTTGTTTCTGCCAGTATTGTATTCGTTGTGTGTATATACGTACACTAGGCACTCCAGTGGTGACATCATGCCCCACCCCCCCACTGCGCAGGCCCCCCTGTCTTCACGGCTTCTGTGACGAAGCATCTGCATTGCTGTGCATTTTCTTATTGTTTTATTTCTGAGGTGTGTTCGCCTTGACCTTGAGCGGCGCGTGCTTGATGACATTATTTTATAGCCATGTTTCGGGCACAACGCCGACGCCTGTTTGCGTAATGGGACATATAAGGCTTTTGCCTTAATAATTTAAAAATGTGTAAAAATAGGAGAGCGCCCTTTAACGATGAAACTTGGGATACGGTCGAATGCGACTGATAAATTGGACTTTGTTTGTTGAGTTTGTTTACTGCAAGCTCAATGTCAATATTATCAAAAGATAAGATTGACAGGTAATCGTTGGGAGCACTACTGACGTCGAGCATAGATGCTTCATTTCGATTGCAGGAATAAACTGAGGCAAAGTAGTTTGCTAGAACGTTTGACACAGAGATGGTAACCTAGGAGTGGGTGAAAAACGAGACGGACAACACAAGGCTCCTTCTGGGGAACGTGTGGGGGTGATGTGTGCTTTGAATTTTTTGCGCTGGTGTCCTTGGGTGGCTTTGTTCCCTAGTTTGGCAGTTAAAAGTGTTCAATTTTTTGTTTTTGTTGTTTGGTGTGTGTTTTGCTTGTTCATGGGCCTATTTAAAGGGAAGCTGAAGCACTTTTTAAGACATCTGAGCAGACTTCTGTAGCTTCTTGTCTTGTGAATTCAGTTATTGCACTTACCTTGAGCAAAAGTAATTGTGAACCACATCTTTTTAAGAATATGTGCAGCGATTGCTGCTGAGCATGCAGCGACCGCCTCTGCAACCTGTCATCTGTCCAGAGCTTTGTTACATCATTGAAGGCATCCCTAGCCGCGTTTGCATGAAGCTCAGTGCATCGACTCCACTCGTCCTTCGAATGAAGCCGACGCGGCAACGTTTACATGAATGCGCATTAGGTGGCACCACGCCGTGTCGAAGCTCAAACATAAAGCTGCGTTTCCGGCACCAGCCGCACAATGTGACCATGTCTTCCGGCGCATCGCACGCTGTATTCGGCACTGTGCAAGAAATTACGAGACGAAAGAAACATTAAAACCCAAGCGTTTTGGGTTCCATTAGTATAGTAAGAGATGAACTGCCATTTGAGTCACCAGATGGCACTGAATTCCGGAAAGGGGTCTATTGCCCCGAGCCTCTGCCGTGGTTTTTAGAGACCATCAAGCGTATGAACCACGGTCGTCTGCGCATGCTCTCTCGTGCGAAGATAAATGCATCTGCGGATTTGTGAGAAAAAACTTCATGGCAATCTTTTGGCTCCTCCCCCACCATGTCACAACACAAAGAATCTTTGTTTTAAGGCGAAAACCTTCCTTGTCCCACAGGGGTGGAACGGCTGCGTCATTTGCGCCAGACATTTGTTTGCGCTATCCTGCGCCATTCTACAGAAACTGCTCCACAGCCAATACCTCGTGCCATTATGTACCAAATCGCACAACATGCGCCAAAAAAAATTGTATTTTGTCTTGGTTTCGGTTTTTATCGACTCTATTGGCAACGATGAGCGCGTTTAGCTTGGTTGGCCTTGCAATCCTTTGTTCTGTTTATTTTCCCTGTGCATCCCGAGTCGGAAGCGCGCGAAGAACTCGGAAGTCTAATTCCAGGCGCTACATCACCTTCGGCTGGATTGTTATTCTGCAACCACAAGGGAGGACTCTACTTCGAATTGCACTTTTTTTTTTTAAATATTCATATTCAGAACTGCAGAGTTTTGGCATGTATGGATAACAAGGAACACTCTCACAAAGTCTTGTCAATGTGCACTGACAAATGTCAGAAATAATGATCCTTTGTATGTTGGAGAGGTGTGCTGCACTGCATAGCACTCGTCATCCACAAGTGAAAATGACGGAAATCAATATCAGTATATCAGAAGAAGTTTGAGGAAGACATCACATACACTGCTGGAAAGAATTTCTGACATTTAACACTAGGGATGCCGCAAACTTTTTTCGAATCGAAGTTTCGATGATCGAATCAAGCGGTTTGAAAGGTTCGAAAGATTTCGATTTTTCGAATTTCCTACATCGTAAAATTCGGCGGAAGTCGAATTTTCGAACTTGTTGAGCTAAGAAGTTCGACGCTTTTCGAACCGTCGAACTTATTACGCTAAGAAATTCAATTTTTTTTTCGAACTTTTGAACTTATTGCGCTGCAAAGTTCGATGCTTGTCGAACTTTCGAACTTGACTGACCAAAAAATTCGATGAATTTCGAACTTTTGAACTTATTTATCAAGAAAAATTGAAAAGTTTAGAACTTTCGAATCCTGAAAAGTCAGAATTTCGACGAACTTCGAACTTTTAGGGTAAAAGTTCGATGCTCGTCGAACTTCGAAAGTACAGCGGACGGTTTCATTTGAATTGAAGAAGTGAGGTACATTCATAGTTTTTTTTTTCTCGAACTTTTACACGCGGTGCTGCGTTCCTTACGAAAGACAATGGCGTTTGTTTCAATGTTCTGGCATGCTTAGTTTTAAAAAAATTAATTTCTGAAGGTGCGAGGATGGACGACGGGTTTTTGTTGATTATCGTTTGTGCCAGATTTGAAGCGTGCTGTAGCCGAAGCTATTTGTGGTAGAGATGTTACACTTTTTTAAGGATGATCCATGTATAGCCTAGGTAAGTGCCATCTTAAGATGTGATTATTGTTATTCGACGTGAGTTTTGAAGAAATGTCCAAACATGTATCTACATGCAATTATGCCCTAAACTTGATATTTATTTTCATCTAAGTTGCTCGAGGTATCGCATTTAAATTACCACAGACAGTACATATCATTGCCATCTGCAGAATACAAAATAATGTATTCATTGTTTTTTCACGTTAAGGAATAAATTAACTCATGGCAGAAGATTTCTAATAGTGTTCAAGTTCAGCACGTCATTAAAGAAAACTTTTTTTTTTTTTCGCTTCACGATCCTGGGACGTGTTTCTTTTAGCCTGTTCACATTTTGGTAAAAGAAACTTGTTTCGAAGTTCTGAACCTCTGAATACGCAAGAATAATACACTTCCGGCGAATTCTTAATAGTTTTTTTTCTCCAGCTTTTTATCCCCGCATTTATTCTTTTTTTTTTTTTTTTTTTTTTACTATTGGCACAGGTATTTAGGTCGAAAAGACATAGCTTTGAACTTCCGAACCACTAAGCATGTGACGAGTAGTGCCTTCTGACAACGAGTTTCTAACAATGACCATCTACGCAATCTTTTATACAGTGAAGAGCGACAGTAGCTATACATATGCATAAATAATTTCAGATTAAAATAAGCTCGACCACGCCCTCTTTCCCCGTATTGTTTTCTTTAAAAGTCCGAAATATCTGGAAGGGGGGAAGGAAACTGAAGCCCCCCTCCCCCCCGCTACCCTCTTACCCCCCGTTTTTCCTCTTCCGACGCCACTTGTATGGTAGAACGCTCCTCGACCTCGAGTTGTGTCGGCTTTTGTGCTTTTTGCGAGGCGATTCCTTCGTCCCAGAAAATAAACCTCCAGGACAATTATAAACTTAACTTACTATATGCCAGCGTCACTCGGGCGGCGTTCGATCGGATTAATATCAGCGTGCAAGGGGTGGCGAGGTAGTTTGCCAGGTCGCTTCAAAGTTTTTCTGAGCCTCAACCTCCTGCTCGTCCCTGGCCGTTTCGAACTGGATGAGTCTTGTAAAACAGTGTGTTCATGTGATCACTACTGCGTGATGCAGGTTAAAGACCCCCCCCCCCCCCCCCCCGGGCTGGCGGTCACAATTACTGATCCATGGTCACACGTCACTCTGCATTGGCAAATATTCCAGCACATCCGGGACACTCTTCGTCTCAGAAGGTAGTAAAAGTGGAGGCAACGTCTTGAGACGTTGCCTCCACTTTTACTACCTTCTGTTGTGTTCTCTTTTCTGCCCCAGTCTCAGGTTTACAATCATGTACATTTCATGAGTTCCACCCCTGGTCCCATTACACGAAAAGACGTCGGCGTTGTGCCCGAAAGATGGTCATAAAAATAAGTCATCAAGCACGCGCTGCTCAAGGTCAAAGCGGATGCGCCTCAGAAATAAAACGCAAAGAAAAGCGCAGCAACGCTGCCAGATGCTTCGTCACGGAAGCCGTTGTGAAACCGGCGGGGTTCGCTGTGCTGCGCAATAGGGAAGCGTGATACCACCGCCGGAGTGCAGCGTAAAAAAGAAAGACGTGGCGCGCTGCTCGTAAGAATGCAACACGTGTGGGAATGCTCTCATATTCCTACATGTAAGCAGTCTTAAGTGTCTCTGCCGAATTCTTTGACGAGTTTAGCGACCCAGGTAGTTTAAAAATGAACTATGCCGAGCATTTGTTTTGTGCTGCTCCGCGGGTGCTGGAGCGAGCTTCCAAAGCTTTCATCCGACGCCGTGAAACATTTGGTAATGAGTTAGAAAAACAGTCTACAGTCCGAAGAACGAACCCCTGCCTTCCCCCGGTGTCACTTTTTCATTGTTTCCAGTAGAGACTTTCACTTTGAAAAACACGGTGAGACCGAACTATTAAATTGAATAACTCTGCGGAAACAAAAAAAAATTGTTTTGGTCTACTATTTGGGTTACTGTTCGTTGGTGTCTATAAAATTTTCAGACAAATGGGAGATTATGAAGAAAACGCCGACTACACGTTTAAGAGATTGACACCCAATGCTGTCATAAAATGCCGGCCAATCCCCGCGTTCCTTCAGATGCTACAATTGCTCGACATCCAACTGTATTTCGGAACCCCTAGCGCAGTGGTTCTCACCCACTGATGTTTCGCGGACCCCTTTTGGATCGGCGGGGATGATGGAGGATCCCTATCGTGGCGAGGGAAAGGGAAAGCTAAAGTTTTATTATGATAATTATTTACTAAATGGATAAAACTAAGGGTTAATGTGAAGTAGATCTCTCTTATTGACATACACGAGAAACTCGCCCGAAAACTGAAACATATCTTCTCGACCCGAGAAAAGACAACGTTATTGCCGGACTTGACTGATGAGGCATGGCTTCGCGGACCCCTGGAATGCCTTCGTGGACCCCCATTTGGGAACCACTGCCCTAGCGCATGCAAAATCTGGACGCAATAACTGCAGCATTTGGACTGCTTGAAATGACTTCTCTTCACCCACGAATGGGTGCAGTTGACTTTGCTAGAGCGTTGCCAAGTATCTGGGAAATTGTAAAGAAGTAAAGAAAAAGTACAACTGCATCTTCCATTGGCCCCCAAAGGGGAAAGCAGGGGTTGCTACCCACGCCGCTTCTTGCGGGTTGCGTTGGCGTGTCGGAGCTGCGCCCGAATCCGCCCTCGCGACACTGGAGGGCTGTCCGGATAAATGCCGAGCAAGGGTTGTCGGAGGCGTGCCCCACCTTCTTCCAGTTGAGACCACTTCGTCTGGCCGTTTTTGCTGTGACCCGCGCGGGCCTAGGACAAAGGTGGAACGCGTCTCGCTGGCGACCGATTTTAGGGGGCGACCTTAGCCATGCGAGAAGGACGGGGGTATATTGGGAGGCAGAATGGAGGGTTCCAGAGGGCCTCTCTTCCCCAGCCCCTGCCGGACAAGGGGAGGCCGGTGTACAACCTGTCCATGGACGGCGTGGTCATCGTCTTCACCGGCTTTAGGTCCAAGCAAGAGCTGGTGAGTGGCTGCTCGTCTGCTGCCTCAAGCATATTGGAAGCACTTTCGTGACCAGATAAACTACTACTTACTGGTCTGAAAACTTCGCCGCTTTCCGCTCTAGAAAATATTATTGCCACGGTAGTACAATTAAAAAAAAAAAGTTAAACTAAAAGTTTAGAAACATTGAAAAATCTCACCTGTCACCAACTATAGTACAGCATAACTGCTAACTTTGGGTTTATAATGGGCATCACGCAACTGGTCGCATGTATGCATGCAGGCACCACTCATAGGAAACTGCACCTAATTGCTCCAAAGCTGCTCCAAGAAGCAAATTTTTCTGATAGAAAGGTGCTTCATAACAAGCTTTTCTCCGGTCCAATAATTGCTCCAAACTTAAAACTGGCTAAACCACCACTGGGCATGTGAAAAGGACGAGCATTCCGGTGCTGGAGGGAATTTTTGAAGATTCGTTGTAACTCGCGAGGCACTGTCGCGTGGGTGCTGCGGTGGAGGGCAGGGTTTTAAATCCACTTTCGGCTCAGCTACTTTCGCGTTTAGGCCACAAGTTTTTTACAGATTATTATGATGTACAAGGACATCTTACCTCATGTTGTCATAAGTTAGAGCAAAGAGGTTGGCGCTTGAGCGCGATATCCGAGTATGTTTCGTAGAAACGTCAATGCAGCAAATTAAATTGACCCGATGTGCGAATGTTGCCAATTAAGACACTGATATTCCGGTTCATATCAAATCAAAATTCTTTATTTTTCTCCATTTAGAGAGGGAAAACGGAGAAAAAAGCAACAGAACACAGAAAAAAGACTGGTCTTCAACTCCCCTTAGCAGCAGCAGAGACAAAGCACACAAGAGAGTTATTGCACAAAAAGAAATAGGATATGGAATTATTCGCTATCCTGTGCATTTTTAATTATTGAGCAACCTTATATGGTAGGAAAGAAAGCTGCACAGAAATGAAAAAAAGTGTTGAACTGGGAACTACTTTCCACGCGTCGGGAAAAATTGCAATTAAAATTTCCGCTTGCAATAGCCGAAAATAAAACCGGAAAAAAATAGCGAGATTTACTTAAAATAACCCTATTATGTATCTAGTCGGAATGATCATAGTTTTAAAATTAGAAAGTACTGTGCTAGGACAGGCGTGTTTGCCAATTCTTTTTTTAAACATAAACCTTTCAATGGACATCCACCTGGTTCGGAATGACAATAAAAGAAGGGAAGAAAGGTTAGAGTTTTTCCTTTCTTTCAATTCTTTTTTTGTTCGAATGACCGCAAAATGGAATCGACTTGCGGAAGAATGAGCATGTTTGAATGAAGATGTGTTGTTTTTTTATCTCTCTAAACTCCCCCCTGCTGTAACGCCCCTGGGCACTGAGGGGTAGTTATTGAATGAAGAAAAAAGTATGCTGATAAGTATTCAGAGTTAGTTACAAAATTCTTGTATGGTGCAACATTTCGGGGCAAGAGGAAATAGTGATCCAATACTTACGGTGAATTACGTATCTTGTACAGTTATAGAAACGCTTTGAAAGATTATTGAATGTGGTATCTAGTTTATGAAATGGAATGTAAATGACCCCTCAATAGCAGGAGAGATTAGAAACCCATATAAACTTTACTGAAAATGGTATCTAATATATTGAGAGGAATGCCAATGACTCCACTATCATCCAACACTGGGAACCCATTGAAACTTGGTATCTAGTTTATCCTGTGGGATGCCACTTCCTGCTCATTATTGGACAAAAATTAAAATCAGCGCAAAGACACGGACAGGAATGAAAAGGTAGACGAAGAACAGCCTTCTCGTTCTTGTCTGTGTCTTTGCAGTGCTTTTAATTAACGTAGAAGTTTGGGCTAGTTGGTAAGTAGACACGATAAAAACAAGAGCGCAAAGACAAGGACGAAGTAGAAGAAACTGTAGGACACAGCTCTGTGTCCTGTGGTTTCTTCTACTTCGTCCTTGTCTTTGTGCTGTTTTCTTCTTATCATGCTTTTAATTATAAGCATGAAATACCAACTAGCCCAAACGTGAACATTAGTCATTATTGGAAAACATTGGAAGCACATTAGCACTCCATGGGAAGTGGTATCTAATTTAACTGATGGGGTGCCAATGACTGCCGGATATGTAACAACACTGGAAGCCCATTCGTCCTTGATTGGAAGTCGTTTCTAATCCAGTGCCATTGACTGCCCAATACAGTCTAAGCTCGTTATAACAGACCTTGATTTTGACCAAGATTTCGGTCTGTTGTAAAAGGAGTATGTTGTATGCAGAAATGAAGTTGAGTCAATAGTATGTAGAAAACCAACCAAACTTCACAAATCGGTATGTTATATCCAAATGTCTGTTGTATCCAGTTCTGTTGTAATGAGCTTGGACTGTATTGGTGAACATTGGAAGCCCATTGGCCCTTCAATGAAAGTGGTATCCAATAGGGTGCCAATGACTGCCCAATATTTGACAATATTGAAAGCCGATTGGTGCTTCATTGGAAGTGGTATCCATTTTATCTAATGGGGTGCCAATGACTGGCCAATATTTGACAACATTGGAATCTCCTTGGCACTCCAGAAATGAAACAATTTTTCTCCCCCCCTCGCTTAAACTAGACCGAGGGGAGCTGCTTTCCCTGTAGCTACCTCCCTATTAGTGTGATGAGGGAAGGGTTCGTTCATCTGCAGTGTGACCTTCTCCTCTTGTGCCACTACATGGGAGCCAGCGTCCGGGACAAGTTTTCCAAAGCCAATGTGACCCACTGTGTCGCAGATTCCGTGATAAGCGACAAGTATGAGGTAAGCTGTCCTAACCCTGTATTTTGTGGCAGCCTGAAATCCGTCAACGTTCTTGCAGCTTTCCTCCGCCTTCGACATCCCTGTCATGAAAAAGGAATGGCTGCTGGAGGCTTGGAAGCACCGCGATGAGCCAGACTTCTCGGCTACCAACGAAACCATGGTATTCCAACGCCGTTGCACGCATCTGCATAGTGACCGCATCCTCTTCCGAATGAACGAGACACACAATGTCCGTTGCATTTGACGATGATTGGGGAGGGCCGGATGTTGGCGAAACTTTTGCGAGTTTTGTCGACCCGGTAAAATGCAGGATAAAAAATGGCCACTCCCCGTAACTCCGGTGGGTCCGTTGGCAAGAAACGCTGTCATCCTTAAAGGCCGATCCACAGAGTCGTCTTCTGAGTCTTCAGCCATTCTCCTCCTAGAAGAATAGCCCATCGCTTAAAATTCAGGCAAAAGTTGCTTTTCCCACTCCAATTACCCCGAAGCTGACAGTGCTGTGGAAGCTACATGCTTGTTGGGCCAGCAACACTTTTGCCATGTGATCACGCTCCCTCGCGCATACCTACGCGCAGAGAATGAGGTCAGGTGATGAAAGGGAGGTGGTTGATTGATCCAGCAAGCGCATGGCTTCCACTGCACCGTCTGTTTAGGGGTGAAGGGAATAAGTGAGGTCCAGTGTCGTGTGACGTGTGTTTGGGCCTGGTGATGAGCTTTGGGTACGCAAATGTATCACAGTGAAAAGGCAGAGAGCTTTTGAAGGGAAGAAGGTACGAAATAGTTTGCTGTGTTTTCAAAATTTCGTACCGAAAATCGGGCTTTTGTCTTTCTACCTTCCTTCTTTTGGCCCACTAAACGATATTCTATTAGTAAAATCCCGGTCTAAATTCATTTATCCCAGACCAATATTCTTTTCATGGGCCCTTTAACTCTTTCTGTATCACGGGGAAACAGAATTTTTGATGGATGGACAAAACATTTTAATCTTAAGAACTGGTCAGCATTTGGCTAATTAGATAACATAAAAATTTAGCCAATCTGCTGCTCTTTAAAAGAAAAATGTTTGCACTAATGTCTGAAACAAGTTTCTCAAATTTATATGCTGAAGTAAAGTGGTCATTCGAGCTAGTTGGTACATCACTACGATAAAACAGTGCACAAAACGTCTTCCTCCGACGTTTAGTCCTCTGTTTTATCTTAGGTATCTGCTGAACAATGAATTTGTGCAAAAATTATAACAAAAAGTGTAAACATTTGCAGCTGTATGAAATTGTACTATGATTTAAAAAAATCCTAAATATACAAAGTGAGCACTATAATCACCTCCCTAAATTAGAGAGCTCTATCTGATCCAGCAATCTCTCGGTCTGCGGACAGGCTTTCATGGTGTTGTGCCCTTTGGAGACGACGCTGCTGCATCATGCGGAAGTGCATGTTTCTTCAGAACGCTTTTTTTCACAAAACCTCGGTTTGTTATAGCACTGCTACACCTTATCTTCTGCTGCTGTGTTTAGAGACCGACGACCAGTTCGCGTTTTCCACTTTTCTCCCGCTTCCTCCTCTTCCCCCTTCTACCCTGTCCACCGTTGCCTGTTTTCTCGTCCCCCACGGTGAGGAGGATCTTCTGCCTTGCAGAATCTCAAGTCTAATCGTCGGCCTTTAAGGCTTGCGGCACACAAAAAAATGGGTGCCCCAGTCCAGGGCGGCGTAGAAAGCTAAAACGACTCATTCCAACAAGCACCCGTCGATATTCTGCGCCTTGGAGATGGAGCATTGCTGTAGGAGCTCAAATCAAATGTTCTACTATCACCCACAGTCCTCACTGCCGCTGTCATCAATAAAACAGTTGGCAAAAGCGGTTAAAAATGTGCGATATAGGCTATCTTTGTAGCGGTCCCCAGTGCCAGCAAGACGCCACGTTGGACAAGTTGCACTGCCCGAGAGAGATTTGTTTCTGATAGTTGACCAGCTTGGGAGAAAGTGCAAAGGGAAGTTTAGTGCAACATGTTCCTGCACGTGGAATCCACGGATGACCAGTGGGCTTGCTATGGAAATCCCCAGATGCAGCTGCGGATCGAGGCCTTGAGGAACTGCAAGGTGTCCTTCCTTGGCTTCTCGGAGGACGAGCGGACGCACATGGAGGAGGTGGCCGTGGCCAACGGTGCGTGTCTGACCGCGTCCGGAATGGGTCCCGACCAACCTTTTCCTCGCAGGGGCCCTGGTGCTGCCCCCTAGCCACCCGTCGCTCCACTTTCTGGTGGTGGACGACTGCAACCCGGTGCCGCCCGTGCTGCCGCCCACCCTCGCCGCCACCACGGCCGTCGTCAGATCGGAGGTGCTGCTTCCCCCGTCTTCACAAAATATGCTTTGTCCCACGGTTTAGTCTAAAATGAACAGCACAGGTTGCCCGACTAGGCCCCTAGCACCAGACTACATTTGCTGCACAAGCAGCTGCAACACTGTCTGTGCTTCGATTCCCTCAAGGGGTATCTAAGCACGGACCTCTTGCTCCGTAATCCGAACCCCTGTCCTTGTGCCGGATAGGCGGCTACGATTATCCTCGTTATACTTGCCTTGTTCTCGTGTGGCCACAATAATAGTGCATGTTGCGCAATCCCGTAATTACCAGACGTTAGTTGGTCTTGTAATCGTTTTACCGTGTGCTTATGAATCTGGGGGAAGCCTTTAAAGTGATTGCATAGATTGACTTGGTAACGTATTGCGCTACGGTTTGCTACAAAGGTGCCTGAAGGTGATGGAAGCGTCGCATCAAAATTGCAAAACACAAACTTACCTAAGCAAAAAGTAAAAAAAAAACAATAACAGATTTTTTTTACCTGCGGTGCCCGGCTGCTATATACGCACCCTCTGACTGGTGCAACGACCGACAGGTGGCGGCAGCGGCTCCTGCGTCAGCTTACTGCCCGGTCTTGCTAAAAGCAGACGATATGTAGGTTAAATTACTTGACGAATCGTCGGTTTTATTTGTTTTGTGTACAGTTAATGTTTTATTAAGAACTCAGTTTTTGATAAAAAAAAATATATTGTCCGCTTTTTGGTGCGACTGGGCGGTAAGCTTGTGCCAGGGCCGCTGCCGCCATCTGTCAGTCGTTGGGCCAGTCAGAGGGTGCGGGGATAGCAGACAGACGCTGTAGGTAAGAAAAATCAGTTATTGTTTTATTTACTTTTTACTCCGGTAAGTTTGTTCTTTGCAATTTTCCAAATTCCAACGTTCCAAATTGCACAGCTCACTTTGTTTATCATGGCCGGCAGGCCCATCTACCGGGACCGCAGCTTCGCCATTATGCTGGTTCCAATTTGTTTCCTTGGCCTTCTGCTCGTGTTTTGAGCACCTCGCCTGGCGGCACCTTTGGCACAAAGTCGTGAGAGCCATCCGAAGTTTGGCGACGGGGTCTGCTACGAGCTGCATGCATGCTGATGAACTTGAGTCGCCACAGCATGTTTCCTAAAAGAAGTTCTTTTCTCTTTTTGCAGTGGTTCTGGGCCAGCATTCAAATGGCACGCTGCTTCACTGCAAAGTCGTATCTCTACGAGAATGTGAGTCCATCTTCTCTGTTTTCTGAGTTTGCCCATTATGAAATTTTGCAAATCTGTTGCGAGTCTTTTTTAGTTTGCATTGTAAATAGATTTGGTGGAGAGCCGGTGGTACAGTTGCATATTATAGGAAAGAAGCCAAGTGAGCTTATTGCTTCGAGGGCCTCTCGTACTGTGCAACAAAAAAAAAGGTGATCGGACAATTCTTTGGTGCGCACAAGCGGCATTTCAGTGGCCGTTCAATATTTTAGTCACTTGGTGCTTGGCTGGCCAACGGTCTGTTGCCAGATCAATGCTGATTTCGGCGCCGACACGAGCACCTTTCGAATGACTGTCATGGGACGAAGTAAATGGCTTTCGGCGAAACAAGAATCAAAATTTATCCTGTGACCTTGTCACTTCTGCGTCAGCAGCCCTTGTGGCCGAAGTGCACAACCACTCTGGTAGTGACACTGAGTGAAGAACTGGGGTCAGCTCAGGGGTCAGCTGGACATTCCCAGTTGGGAGTTCACCATTCGCAGTTGGGCCAAGAACACAGTTATGGGACCAACTGGTTGGATGGATTCCCAGTCAGGGTACCAGTGGTCATTCTCTACCCTTTTCATTTCGGCTAATCAAAATAGCCACTGCCTCGTCAAGGGCTAGTTGGATTCCAGCTGCAGCCAAAAGAATATGGAACACAAAAAGACAGATTTTTCCGTCTTTATTACAAAAAAGGTGTAGAATCAAGCGTTCTGTGGTTCACCACTTCAACGTTATAATGGCCCTTTCGGATAAGAGGGATGAAGTGTTTGCCAAGGCCACCTTCACTGTGCTGTAGTTTGCAAGATGGGCCTAGGCTCTCCTCCCCATCATGTACAAAACAAGTGTTCACCTTTCTGCACGCAAGTCCTAGCACGATGCGGCAGTGCTCCCACCTTGCAATCCAACATTTTCAATCACTCGGGACCCAGGTCACCGAGGTAGAAATACTTCCCGCCATGTTGTCGTTGCCCTGCTGTGGCTCGCGCAGTGCATGTAGTCTCTGTGGGCACCCGCCGATCGCTCAGTCTTCCTATCTTTGGGGTTTAGTGCTGCCACCAGGACGTATTTGCGGTTGAGTCGAAGGAAATGTAGATAAGGTTTCGATGTTTCGAAAACATTAAAAACACATTGATCCAGATGCCACGGTGGGGGTCGCATTTTCCTTCTGCCACGCCATAGCACCGCTAATGCAGCGCCCTCCCTCGTCAGAGCTAGAAACTAGTCCACGATACATCGATTGCGCAATGATACACCCAAGCGCGTCGTTAAAATTTTGACACCTCATTAGCCTCGAATAACGATTTAGTTCTTGGAACGAATATGTAAGTCAATATTTTGTAACGCATTTTGATTTATATGCATTAATTTTTGCGGCGAATGAATGTAAATATATCAATTAAAATACATAAAAGCGGGAATGTTAACTTTTTATTTATTTTGATTAGCCGAAATGAAAAGGGTAGGGAATGACCACTGGGGGGTACCCTGACTGGGAATCCATCCAACCAGTTGGTCCCATAACTGCGTTCTTGGCCCAACTGCGAATGGTGAACTCCCAACTGGGAATGTCCAGCTGACCCCTGAGATGACCCCAGTTCTTCACCCAGTGTCACTACCAGAGTGGCACACTGACACAGTATCCCCTGGAACTGCATTGAACCAGAGTGAAGCTTTGGCAGTATTTCTGAGCTCGCTTATAACCCAGGTTTTTCAAGCTGGATGACACGCTCGGCTCCAGAGCTGGAGGATACGCCAGTGTGTGCTTTGGTCGTAGGCACTGAAACACGAGGCCTTTAGTCTTTGGCCACGGCCGGTGCATTGATGTGCTCCGGAAGTGGCAGGGGGAGCTCAGGGAACCAGTTTGAGAAGCCTCGGGCGTTTCTGGCATTATTAGGATCGCGGAAGACGACGTCGTAGACGCGACGCAACGTATACCGACGCGTGCCGTGGCAGCCCCTGCAGCCCGGCCCGGCGTCCCTGTGCTCTCCGCCGTCGGGGAGCGAGAGCAAGCGGCGGCGCCTGCGGGAGAGCATGGCCCAGCAGCTGGCCCAGGAGGTGGCCCACGTGAACCCCTTCTCCCCGGAGAGCCCCCGCCACCGGAGGCGCGTCTCGGCCGCCAACAACCGCTCCATCTCCGTCCTCGACGTCACCCTGTCACCGGAGAAAGGTGCCCAGGGTGCGTACCCAGCCTCCCCTTGAAACTGCCCGACACCCACTACAATATCGCGCACATGCTGTGTGCTCCTGGCTCGTTTGCTGCACATTTTGTGCGCCTCCAAGTTTATCAGAAATGTTCAGACATGTCTAATTTTACCGCACTATTTACGTTGCGGTACTCCGAGCAATTCCGAAATTGGCTACTTTTTCATTGAGTGGAAAGTTTATTCATTTAGAGGGAAGTTTATTTTCTGACATTCAAGTTCTATTTTAGCACTTTCAAAAAATGCTTTTGGCGAGCCTAAGAAAAGTTTCTTTGGGGGTTGAAAGGCTCCGGGCAAGACAAATGGATCCTTCGAAAACCGTAAAGATGTGGCTCTATCAGATATCTCTGGCATGTCTGAAAATGCCGATGGGCTAAGCTTTCTTGGTTTTTTTTAAATATATACTCGTTGTTGATCTGGAAATCTCTTGTCTTGCTATCGCCTTTAGGGATGTGGCACTCTCTTTCTATCCAATCTCATATTTACGGCGAATTTGCGTCGTAATAAAGAAAGGAGGTTCTATTTGTTTTGAAGCGATACTGGGTCTCACGATTCCAAAACGGCTCGCTGTTGATTGCAAAATGGCTCAAGAGCAAGGATCCTCACTTGTTCGTTGCATCTCGTTTCCCACGCATCGTAAATGTTCGCCTTTGAGGAAATGAGTACAAACTTGCTGCATTGCAAACGTTTGGATTGTCGAGACTCGCAATAACATTGAATCGCCAATTTTGCAGGAAAGAAGAAAGTGTTTTTCGCGGTAAAACGCTCCTGCTGACTGCCTCCCCGGAGCATTTCGCTGGGAAAAGCAGATGGGCGCTTCCTTGTGTATTGCCGTAATAGACACTTTTGAAAAGTGCGCGCCCTCCACTAACTACTCCGAGGCTGTCGCATCTTGGGCACGCACTTTGAGCGTGCTGTGGATGCACATTCTGCGTCGGCACTTGGAGCAAGCTTAATTCCAAATTTAATTGACGCGGGCGCTGCGTCGGTGTCACGCCGTAAGATACCCTTTATGTGAAGACACACGGTACAGCAAACGCTACGATGCAGTTGACCAGATAAAGTCCTATTGGCACGCATCCGGGTAACCACCGCTGACAACATCTTTGATGGCACAGCTGAAAAAAAAAAAAAAAAAAAAAAAAAAGAATGAAATGCAAAAGGTGTTTTGTTGTTGCGATACTTGAGCACACGCGTGAGTTCAACGGACGCTGGCTCGAACGATGCACCAGAGATTTCTCCGCTCGAACGCAGTCATAAAGCTGTTCTTGCCGCCGTTGAGGCACGAAACTAGGATCAGTGAAGCTAGCAACGGACACGCTTCAAGTGTCAAGTTTTACGTGACCTAGATGACTTAAAAAAAAAGCATGGCTCTTATAGAAAAGAAACCGAGCTTGCGACAGGCTATCCCTGATGGTAGAGCCATCTGGTGGCACCGCTTGTAACCAAGGCGAGGAGAAGACTTTATTTGGGTGACACAAGCGTTGGCCACACTTACAAATCGCACCGGTCGGCACCGACTCGGGTCCGTGCAGAAAACAATGTCCACTATAGCCGGCATTGCTCGACGGACTTTCGTAAAAGGTTCTATTGGTGCGCAAAGTGTCTGATGGTGCCTTGATGCTTCCAGCGGCAGACGCCCTGCGGGAGGGTCAGGAGAACGGAGTCCCCCCCGGTGTGGACCTGGGCGGCATGTCCAAGCGCCAGCAGGTCTGCTGGGAGCTGCTGCAGACGGAGACCAACTACGTGGCCATCTTGCACACCATCCTCACGGTGGGCAGCACCTTTTGCCGCCTCCGATGCACTCATTGATCTCGGAGGTCGCCATTGAGAATGACTAGGCATGAGCGAAAAGTGGATTTCGAGTTCGAGGTGGGTGATGGTATTGGCCGAACGCGTCGAATAGTTTCTTCGAGCTTTTCGCTACTGTTCTGCCACGCTTAATTGAAAACCCCGCCGAACTCTTCGAAGATGTTCCTACTTCATTCATAAACCAAGTAAATTTTCATCTAATTACATTTATGAACTGTGGCCTCAAAGTGCAGTGCCTTCATGGAGATGACAAGTAAACGACAGATTTGTTGTAAAATTAAAGTTATAGAGATGCGCGGCCATATCTAATTGAGGGGACTCGTAAAATTTCAGCTGAAAGGAACAAAACGTGTTAGCATTTAGCACGGAGGTTCCGACTCGGCGAACGATGGGAATTTCAACCTCGCAATTCTGCATACTGTTGTCTTTGGAGAGCCGGTTTGTTCTCTTGGGCGTCGGCGGTTCTGAATGCAGCCACCGCAGCTCCCCTCAATTGTTGCCTACGGTCCGTACGCTATTGTCTCCGAAGAGCCAGTTTTTACTCTCGGGTGTCGGCGGTCTCGTGCAAACGTCGTCGTCGCTGCACCTTGGTTTTTCGTCATAGCGTACGTTGTGCTTACTGGGGAAATAAAAGCGTGGGACTACGCCCCAATGCCATCGTACGTCAATAGCGGTGCGTCATTGGAAGCGTGCCGGAAGGCTCTTTCCTTCTTACGTAACAGGCAAAGTGGCCGGAACACCGCAGCCTCGCAAAACCAGTCCAGTTTAAACTAAAATTGGCTGCATGTACCGGGGCAATAAAGGCTCACGCATTTAAAAGACAATCACGAATGATGAATGCACCAGGCATTCACAATCCTGCTTTGAAAGCTTATTTTTCTCCTAAGCATGCTGCTGCAATATACATATTTTTCAGTGTCGATCGTAGCAGATTAGCCCCCATGAGCGAGCTTCTTACTGAGCACCAGAGCACGACAGAGAAGCGACACCCGCAAGGTCGAGCTCTGCGAGTGGTGCTTCTCTGTGGCGCACCGATGCTCGGTAACAAGCACGTTTATTGGGGCTAAACTGTCTGATTTGAAACTTAGAAAAATATGAATATTGCGGTTCATCTGAAGCGAATGTTTGCGCAACCCATTGGATTTTACTATATTTTTGCTAAAATTGTTTTGCAAACATTGCTCAAGTGCAGTGGGTAGATTGGATTTAATCGTGAGACCCTCGGACCTGCCCATCTGGGAAGGTGGCCATGTTTGAAAGGTGGGTGACGTACACTCGACGAGGTAGGGGGAGCTTAGAGTGGTAAACTGGAAGTTCAAAAGTGGCACCTTCCAATTGCCGCCTTGTTGTACGCAAAAGTGACTTCTCGTCACGTGACGTCACCGGTAAGATGGCAGCACCCAGAGCTGGAGGATGCCAGTTCGTTCGGTGCGCGGTAGCTGTGATGTGCCGCTGCTTTCTGACGATTTTGGGCTTCTTCCTGCTCTCTGACGGAGGTTTAACATAAAGATCTGAGGGATGTGTGCTTTTTGCACAAGATGGCTGTGGGCACCCATGAGATAGCATCAGTCGTATCGCCGTAGTGGTGCTCGGATTCCCCGACGTGTTCGAAGACCGATAGAACTTTTAGAATGAAACTTTTGCATTTTCCTGGCTTTGTTTGAACGTTGGAATGTCCGAGAATCGAAGCGAAATGTATGCATCACGTGTGGGGCCTAGGGGAAGTTGTTTTAACTTTTAGCGAGGAAGCTCCTGTGGCACCATTGTTTTTCACAATTTATTTCGTAAACTCGTAAAGCGTCGTAAACTTTGTCGCTGATTGGACGACATTTGCTGTCGGAAAATGCGCGTATCTCGCACAACCGAGGCACAGACCGTAATGCAAGAAATTTTTGCTCGGCGCATCAGAATCTTTGTTGTTCGTTTGCACTGATCAAGAAACATCAAGAAGGCAATGTGGAATTCGCAGCATTTTATTTAACATCCCGACCGTTTTGTAGTTAACCCACTTGTTACACAGAAACCAAAAAGCGAATCTAAACGAAACAAAAAACTCTCGAAACTGGGTAAAAACAAGGTGGGATCCAGATGCAAAGCGAGACTTTCAGTTGTGCAAAGATGCATTCGCGCGATAGTGGATGCACAAACAGCATGCCAAATTCTCGGCGTTACGTAGTGTATGCACTTACATTTATTACGTGATGGCAAGATGGAGGGATATCCAGCTGGCCTCTCTTGCGGATTCAAAATTTTAAGCAAGACTCGGACCGAATTGATATGTGAGAACTCTACAGGCGTTTCACCTCCGAAAGGATTGGCAAGTCAAGCGCACACGAATCGAATAATACATTTCTAGTGCCACATACCGCAAAATACCGGGCAAGTGCCCACTCAAAATTTTGAGATAATCATGAAAAAATGGGGGATGGGCGCTGTCCGGTCATCAGTTCTTCATATCATTGTACTGTGCATATTTTCTAAGATTTTACAAATTTGGGTATGGGCGGATGCTCGGTATTTTACGGTAGGATCGAAATAAAGCCTCTATTGTCCCTTGTCAGTGCACCAACTGCTGCGGTTGCACTGACAAGGGACGTCAAATTAATGGAGCCACTATTTTCCCTTGTCCCTTGTCAGTGCACCCACTGTTGCGGTTGCACTGACAAGGGACGTTGAAATAATGAAGCCGCTATTTTCCCTTGTCAGTGCACCCACCGTTGCAGTTGCACTGACAAAAGACGTCGAAATAATGAAGCCGCTATTTTTCCTTGTCAGTGCACCCACTGTTGCGGTTGCACTGACAAGGGACGTTGAAATAATGAAGCCGCTATTTTTCCTTGTCAGTGCACCCACTGTTGCGGTTGCACTGACAAAAGACGTCGAAATAATGAAGCCGCTATTTTCCCTTGTCAGTGCACCCACTGTTGCGGTTGCACTGACAAGGGACGTCGGAGTAATGAAGCCACTATTTTCCCTTGTCCCTTGTCAGTGCACCCACTGCTGCGGTTGCACTGACAAAAGACGTCGAAATAATGAAGCCGCTATTTTTCCTTGTCAGTGCACCCACTGTTGCGGTTGCACTGACAAGGGACGTTGAAATAATGAAGCCACTATTTTGACGTGTCACGTCGAAATAATTTAAAAAATATTTCGACGGTGTACGTTGAAAAGGTCACTGCCTTCTATATTAATGGGGCAAAATTGCATCGCGAAAAATGGGTTGCCGGAGATTTGTTCCACTATGTGTCCACATTGATGGGGTCCGTATTAAGGAGACAAGACTGTACTCTACGGGTGGAGATCACTTCCGCCGTACCAGAAGGGGTCCCTGGAACAGCAGTGGTTACAAACCCTGACTCTAACCATCTCTCCCATTGGGGGGGATCAGCTTTTCAAAGCTCCCCTGGAGAACCCCGACGGGGAGCCGCTCCTGGACCCCACCGAGATCAGGATCATCTTTGGAAATCTGCCGCCCATCTACCAGGTGGGCACCTTTGGCACTCGCCTCCTCCTTTAAAATTTCCCAAACACTCCTCCTCGAGAAGCTACTTTCACCTAGATATATCACCCTTGCATGCGCTTACAGGTTCGCTTATATACATATTTTTTGTTCTTTGCTGCCCGATAATCTTTATTCGTTACCGTTGCGTGCATTTGTATCTGTCATCGATGGCTGCAGACTGGGAGGCTGTGATATCTGAAAAGAAATACGTTTGTATGTATAGTGGCAAATCTGGAAGGCACGATATTTGCTCGAGTATCCCTAGCGGGTGACGGGACCTGCTACATGCTCCGCCTCCAGCACCTCCTCGTTGCCATCTGCCAAGTTTTGGCCGTCCGATTAAGTGCTCTGAAATACCAAAAGCTCTCATTCGAGGCATTGACCGGGTACTTCAAAAACACTAACACCCCCCCAAAAAATATTTTTTAAATTTTTTGTTAGGTGATTTATTATGGTGTCCGAAGACTATCCAATCAGTATTTTGCTACAGTGTCACATATAGTTATAATAAAGTAAAAAAATGCAACTGTTCAAAACCAAAACCAAAACTGAACTGGGGAGGAAAAAGAAATATATAAAAAAAATAGTGTTGCCAAAAATCTAGAAAAAAAAATTGCAACTTTTTTTTTTATGTATTGTATTTGCAGTTTTTTAGAAGCCACAAAAAATGGGTATCATATTTTTTGTCCATTTCTAGTATTGAGTGTGTGCCTTCGATGGACCCACGACTTAATATTGATGTATATTTCGCAGTAAACAATTTGGCATTTGCGCACCTCAAACATGCTGAACTTGTCTCCAAAGTACTCGACTATTTTTTAAGAATTGAACGTGAACGAGCACAGAAAGTTTCAAGTAAGATTCGAGTGCATTTCAGTTCTTCAAAATTGAAATGATTTTCTCACCTGTACGAATGTTTCAGGTGCATCGCAGCCTGCAGCTAGTGCTGCAAAGCATGCTGCGTTCATGGACGGACAACCACAGCATCGGGGAGGCCATACTTCATCACGTACGAAACTGGCAGTTTTCTTTTTTCTCTTCACTTTAAAACCGATATAGTAGAATCTTGAGGACACGATCACGCACGCACTGATCCAAATTTCGGAATGATGCAAATTTTTTTTAACCAAAGAGCTTGATTTGTGATTTCTTACATTTTGGAATAGCGTGAGTACTAGTGATGGTAGTGCTGCACCATATTGCGCCGCGAGTCTGTTACATCTTCTGCCAAAGTGCTATTTTTTCTAAAATGGACGAAGCAAGAAAAAAAAAATAATTATTCGTCGACTTTAATATTTAGAGAAGGAGGAAAGGAAAAGTATACAGATATGTATGTCCCAACATCTCTACGAACTGTTTGTTTTATCTCGGGTGAGAGTACAGTCGAAGGCTCAAATGCATACTAAAAGCGCAAGTGACGGGGCACTTTCTTCATTTAGTTGGTGAAAGGAAGATGGACAAAGGCCACGATGTCACGCTTGGACGCTGGTTGCTCCCATTGGCTCGTACTTGCTCACAACCAGGCTGGTTGGTTGGTGCACTGGTGGATTGATGGCCGACATCGTCTAAATTTGCAGAGGATGTCGGCGATGTGAGGAGCTAGAAATTGAGAGAAAAGGTTGTCCAATTGTATGATGGCGGCTTCTGTGGTAAGACAGAACTCTAAGGTCTTGTGCTCCTGATCAGGTCACCTGATTATCGTGTTTGCCGCATGTCTCTGTGTCTTCTCTCACCAGCGTGTCGAGCTTCACCGCTTTCCACCGGAGTGCTAGGAGCAGTGGCTGACATGGGAGAGCACCTGAGTTAGCGCAATGGGCTCACTAATTATGCTCAGTACTATGCCAGATTTACTTTTTTGGTCTCGGCGGTAGGTTGATCTTCAACTTTAAAAATCTTCACCCAGAAAGAAAAAAAATATGGGTGTATATATGAAATCACAATTGTTCCTGCGCAGCTGTCGATCGAAACAAGAGCGAACTTTGACTTCACTCTGGCCCCAACGCTGCTAAGGAGCAGCATCACTTGCACGAGTGTAAGCGTGTAAGGGATTGCTCAAAACATACCTGGTTGGGAAACATTTTGACGGCCCTTTAGCACGGTTTGAGGTCGTCCAGGCGAACTCCCGGTTGATAGGAAGGTGGAGTCGGGATGAGCGTCCTATCTTGGATGGCGCTTGGGCTGAGCGTGCACTAACCGTGGGCTCTCTCGCAGAGGGAGGACTTCGAGAAGGCCTACCCCCCGTTCGTCAACTTCTTTGAGAAGACCAAAGAGACCCTGATGCAGTGCGATGCAGAGCGGCCCAGGTTCCACGCCTTTCTCAAGGTGAGCTGGCTCGGCGGTCGACCTCCTGGGCGCTATAGGGCACCAACCAGGATTCCGGGTTTTCTTCCTGTTGCGGGAGACTGCCAGTGTGGTCAAGGAGGTTGTTTCTTGCCGCGGTGGAAAAAGATCCCCGGAGGCCGTGGGGATTTTGAGTGGCGATCCATTGCTCCCTTTGTCCCTCTGTAGGGTTTGCTAGGAGCACCCTCCTCCAGTCAATGCAGGTTTCTGAAAACTTAGATGCAGTAATCCCTCGTTATTTCGATACAAGTGATAAAGCCAAAAAACATGGCGACAGCTGCTTTAAGGGGGGACACTGGCTAGAGGTTGAACTTTTGAACTACTCATGTGATTGGAATGAAATTTGCAGGGGAGATTTAACTTCAAATGTAGGTGTACTCTGCAAACTTTCAGCTCTCTAGGACAACTTTACATAACTGCATAAGAAGATGTGTCACTCTTCGTTAAGAAATCTGTGATATGCAAATGAAGCTATTAAGCACTGTTTTGACTGCTTGAATATAAAGTGGGGAATATAGGACCTCGGTCTATCTAGTTTTAATAACTTAAATGTAAATCTTTCAGGAACAGTTATTACCTCAAAATATGAGATGCATATCTGTCCTATGTCAATTTTTGAAAACATAGCTTTTTCTCAATGAGGACTTTAATTTAAAACAAAATAAAGTAGATAGCCCAATTCCCCAGTAAATTTCAGTTCAGAAACATCTTGATTGTGGTATCAAAATAATTTTACCTTCGAACAAAAGATTCCTTCGCATGAAATTTGCAGCAAAAAGCGGAACTGAGAAAACTGCATTCAAACATTGAACTTTTTAACTTTGTTACTGCATCACAATGTGTTGAAAATATTTAATATCAATGTAACTATTTGGCGCATGGTTATGAAAATTGGTGTAAGGGTGTATAATTAGTTTCTAGAACCAAAAACCTCAAAATTGAAAAATGAATTTTTTCAAAAAATTTTGAAACTTAGGCTTATGTCCCCCCTTAAGTGTATGGGAACGCTGCGGAGCACTCTGACCGTATATTTAATCGAGCAAACTTTGGTCATGAACAACTTGCGGCAGCTTTACTTGGTAAAAAAAATAATTGAGTGGAGTTTGCCGATAATTTTATCCGGGCATCAGTTCTCGAACTGCTCCAGGCATCGCAAGATCACAATCACCGCCACTGCGCTCCACTTTGTCTCAAAGCAGCTGTAGGATGTTTCGCGTCTCCGCAGTCGTCGGTGTTGCCCAATGTGCTTCTCCAATGTGGATTCGTGTTTACTCTGGCCGTTGGCAAGGTCGGCGATCGCAATATCCGTGGCCAGAGCAACAACGGAAATGTCTGCATTGACAAGCGTGAACAAATCAAAGTTATCCTCAGTGGCTTTGCCAACATGTTTTCACACACTACTATAGAGATAGGTAGTTGCAACTCTGGGAATTGTGCACCGGTTCGGCGAGCATCCTTGCGAGGGAAATCCGACGTGAGCAAAGCATTTGACTATCTTTCATCTTCGAGTTGCGGGCGCGTCAGGCGCTCTTACTCCCGCATGAGAAACTTCTCAAGCTCGTCCATTACGCCCTGCTTGTTCCGCAAAATGGTGTACAGTGTCATACAGCCGATGCGAGAATGTTGAATTCTTTGGCTATTTCGGACTTCGGCCGGCCACTTTCCCGAACCTTGCGGGCCTTACGGCTTTCTGTAAGCACTCCCACTCTCTCAAGCAACACACGTGTACGCCTCAGCCGCGCGCGTGGCGGCTCCCGTACTGATTACCTTCTCTGGGCTCTGTCCGCTCCATCGCTCCCTCGACCCGATTCTGACAAGAGTCGGGCAGCGTCGGCCGCGGATGTCGTGAGTAGCGTTGGAACGTGGCCGCATCATAGCGTGGTCGCCCGCCGACACACTTAGAATGAACTTCGATAGAAGTGATAATTCTAAAAAAGCAATTTCATTATAACGAGGGATTACTGTGCCTTGTGGAGGTAGGGAACAGTGCTGTTCACACTTTTCTTAGGTGGAGACACACCCTTAAAGGGATACTGAACCAAAATTTCGAGCTTACAAAACAAGGCTGGACAGGTAGGCAGGACGCTGCAAAACCCCAAAACATCATCACTCATACAGCGATATCTCTAACGGATCGCCATATTTTTGGAAAAGAAGTGCACGACTGAGGCGGGGCCGGCGAGACAAGTCACGTCACGATTCTCATTTCCTTTCCTCTTTGCTTCGTCCCCTCGAGCAGGTGAATCGGAGCGAGGAGGAGAGAAGCGAGGCCGCTTCCCCTCATTCTCAAATCCCCCTGGAGGACAATGACGTCATAGACCTTACTTGATCGTGCCCTTGTTTTCCAAAAGTACGGCCATCCGTTTGAGATATCGATGTATGAGTGATGTTCTGGAGTTTGTAGCGTCTTGTTCAACGATTCTGTGGCCTTATTTTGCGAAATGCAAATTTTGGTTCAGTATCCCTTTAATCCTCTTTGCAAGAGCACAAGCAATGTCACCGAACAAGGCCGAGGGGAACCCAGTGCCTATCAGTCTACTGCAATGGGCCCGGAAGCTAACACCGGCAGTGTGGAAGGACAACGTTTTTAGGGCCGCATGCGGACACAAGACTGCCATGCCCCTGTTGATGACCTTAGAGTGGTCGGGCGTGTAGTCCAAGGTAGCCTTTTTGGATCGAGGGTTGTAAGACGAGCACACATGGCTACCGTCGGAGCGCATAGACAGGTCTGAAAACTGTAAGACCCTTTCCTTAGGAACCTTATCTGTGAATCTAATCCCTGAAAATTGCCAGCACATTGGACAGTGAGGCCACTGTTTGCCAAAGCCCTTGAGCAACACCAAAATATTGTGAATGTATCGTAACACTTTTCGACGTTGGGGGTGCCTAGAGACTTCTGAATGTCTCGGTCAACTTTACTCAAATAAATGTCGCTCAAGACGGACGCCACACAAGAACCGATGCAAACTCCAGATTTTTGCGGATAGCATTTCTGGTGCCACCCAACCACCATCGATTCCAAGTAAAACCGTAAGAGCTCTAATAAGTTCTCAGGAGTTGAAATATATTGAACTCCGAATGCGGGATGTGGAAGCCTTATAACGTCGCCAATGATGTCCCACAACTTGAAAAACATTTCGGTCTTTCGGTGGCCACGAACAGAATCCTGGTTGGTTTGGACCGCCCTTAAAAAGACACTGAAATGAAAAAGATATTTTTTTGTGTGAGGCACAAGCTCAAAAACTACATGAATCTGGGTATGCCAGTTCTTTTATGTTTGATGTAGCAGAGAGCCTGACCACTCACAATAAAAGAAGAAGAGATAAGACACGCCGCCCGGCAGTGATACCCTACCAACACAAAATATCACACAACTTGAAACAAATAGCGTCTAAATATGACATACAGGTTGTAACATCAGCTCCTGACAAACTTCAAAAACTGTGTCCAAAAATCAACTTCCAGAACGAAAGACAAGAACAGTGCACAGTTTAGCACGCACATAAATATATCAGCTGCAACGTCAACATCGTTTACGAAATTCCGTGCACATGTGGGAGAGCGTACGTCGGTCAATCTAGGTGCTGCGTAAATGTATGACTACGAGAGCATGATCTTTCCCTACATACGTCACCGTCAGGACACTTGGCCATACATGCCAGAGACCTTAAATGCACTCCTCTATTCAATCAAACACAAGTACTCGAACGCTTTCGGAGCAAGAGAGCCAGGGAAATTTTTGAGGCAAAAACTGTAATAGGAAAAGGAGACGCGTGCATTAGCACTCCATCAATTTCACTGTCCGTGGAAGAGATAGGGTACCTCAACCTTTTTTCTTAATCTGGCTGCTTTTCTTTATTTTTATTTTTCTATCAGTCCTAATTTTTCTCAAATCATTTTTAATCATTTTATGTGGGAATAAAATTGGCATTTTAATTTATTAAATCTCCTCTCATTTTCGTCTTTCTCTTATCAAGCATTAAACAATCAGTTGTTAGTAAGCACTTGTCCTGTTCATTCTTTGTCCTGTCCTTGTCCTTTGCGCTTTTGTAATTAAGAGGAAATACTAAATTTTCACGTGACCTTAGCCTTGTTGCTGGATTGCAGCTTTCTTCTCCTTTTCTCGCGTTTGCTCGATTTGGTCGGTGCTGGCACCCTTTGGCACTGAATTGGGCCAACCGAGATCTCTGCGGCAGGGGGAGTGATAACCCTGTGGGCTTTGCTGGCAACGGCAGCTGTGCAGTGGTCTGACGTAATATCCCCTGAAAATGGGGGGAAAATGAGGAGTGGGCTAACTTTCGGTGTGCGATCAAGAAAAGTGTTGTATTTTGTAAGCTGCCACACTTCTTTACTTGGAACATGGAAATCATCCAAGGTGACCATTGTGCCTCGTCCCCCTTTTCAAAAGGCGTTGTTTGTAACTAGATTTAGCCCCGAGACAACAGTTGAGGATGTTAATTCGCTTCTTGAACCTGTCCTACGGGGGAAAACTGTTAGCTGCACGAAGCTGAAAACAAAATTTCCCTCCTACTCTTCTTTTCATGTTTCGGTCGAACAAGACCTTTTTGAAACCATTAATAACCCAGACATTTGGCCCGAGGGGTGTACCTTTCACCAGTTTTTTGGAAAGCTTGATATGACGCGGACGTCACTACCAAATAGTACTGATGACTAAACAATAGATTAAATGCTATTATCGGAACACTCGCGGTTTGAGGACGAAAGCACATGACTGTATGTCAACTGTTGTTTCCACTAATTTTTACATGTTCTGTTTAACTGAAACTTGGCTATTGAAAGAAATTTCCAGCACCAGTTACTTTCCAACATCATAGTGTTTATCGAAGGGACAAGGATTATGGTGCAACCGGGAAGAAATTTGGCGGGGGGGGTGTTGACAGCCGTGCGGGATAACATTAAATCATGCAGAAGGGTAGATTTGGAAACCTATGCAGAGTGCGTATGGGTTGAATTATTAACACGCGATGGGTTTAATTACCTCGTCGGAAACTATTATTTTCCTCCGCTTTCGGATTCGAGTGTGTTCGTAAACCATTTACAAAAGCTTGAACAGCAAATTGATTTTTCGAAATTTAAAGTACATATGTACGCCGATTTTAATCTACCAGGAGTGAACTGGTTGACCGGCATAAGCAGTAGTGGAAATAATCAAACGGTGGTAAAAGTGTCACGTCTAGTAGATTTCATTAATTTTAATGGTCTAACTCAGCATAATCAGTTCACGAACACGGCCGGGAATGTTCTTGATCTTTTTCTTTCAAACTGCTCTATAGACAGTGTCATGCCAGTTAGCGATACTCTTGTGCAACCTGACGTTTTTCACCCACCCTCCATTGTATGTTTTTCTTTGCCGGTGAGGTCTCGTGACAGACAAAATTTAACCAGATATGACTATCATAAGGGTGATTATTTAGGTTTATATACGTTCCTTCGTGATAATAACTGGTCAACGGTTCTTCATGATTACTGTGTAGATTCTGCGACTGAATCCTTGACAAAGATAGTGAAAAATGCAATCGATGCATTCATTCCAAAGCGATTGTCTAAGCCTTCTAAATACCAGTTCTGGTTCTCAAGGGAGCTGAAACACTACATGCGTAAAAAAGAACACTATCATAAATTGTTTAAAAGAACCAGCATTGAGTTATGGTACATAAAGTTCGGTGTTTACAGAGCACTTGTAAAGAAACTGTTTAAACACGACAAATTCATTTATAAAAAAATTGGTAGAAAATAGTCTCTACCGTGAGCCTGATAAGTTCTGGCGATTTGTCAGGAAGCACACGAAAGAGTCTGCAAGAAATATTTATTTACATACTGATACGGACTATGTTACAAACCCTGAAAAAAGTTGCTAATATATTCCAAACTTACTTTCGTGAATGCTATTCCAAGGAAGAATTCAAAAGCAAGTCTTCAATCTGCGCTACTGGTTGGAACGACAATTTCACATTTAGTTAGGTCGACATAAATGAAATTTTAGAGGCAATTCAAAAATTAAAACCGAAGAAGTCAGCGGGAGATGATACAATACCTAACTTTATTATTAAAGGATGCGCTGATTTGTTTACCCCTTTACTTATGCACATATTTAACCTATCGCTGAGAAATGGTGTTTTCCCATGTCTTTGGAAAAGGTCAGTGATAGTGCCAATACACAAAGCCGGTGACGCGTCTAGGGTAGATAACTACCGCCCCGTGTCTTTGTTGTGTTCTTTTTCAAAGTTTTTTGAGATAGTTCTACATGCCCGTCTTTCTTTTTACTTTTGTAAAAAACTAAGCACCGTTCAGCATGGATTTATAAAAGGGCGTTCAGTAGAAACAAACCTTTGTTCTCTTCTTGAGTATACTGTCCCATTTGTTCTTACACGTGGGCAAATTGATATTGTGTATTTTGACTTATCAAAAGCCTTCAATAAGGTAAATCATGACTTACTCTTGTATAAGCTCTCTTTATATGGCGTTTCGTCGTCTCTTTTAAACTTATTTCGTAGTTGTTTGTCGGAAAGAAAGAGTAAAATAAGAATCTTGAATAGCTTCTCAGATGTATTTACTCCAACTTCGGGAGTCCCTCGGGGATCGAATTTGGGGCCGCTACTTTTCCTATATTCATCAGTGATATAGAATTGTGCATACAAAATGCGAAACTGCTCTTATTTGCGGACGATATTAAGCTTTATCTTAGTATCCAGTCGGAAGATGATTGTGCTCTTTTGCAAGAAGATGAATCATGTATCTCAAACTGGTGCTCATGTAACTTTTTGCTGGTCAATCCAGATAAAACAAAAGTGCTATCTATGTGTAGAAAACGCGAAAGAATTTTACACCAATATTTTATCGGCAATTCCACTATTGAACGTGTGGAACAAGTTCGTGACCTTGGTGTTTATTTCAATAGTAATCTTACCTTTTCATATCATGTTACACAAATTGTTGCTACTGCCCTTAGAACAATGGGAATGATATCACGTTTGACGCATGATTTTTCAAATATAATGTGCGTAGTTCGATTGTTTTGTTCCCTTGTACGAGTTAAACTTGAGTTTTGTAGTTCATTGTGGAATTCGCTAACAATGACCGACGCTGCACGGATAGAAAGAGTTCAGAAGCAATTTATACGCCTTGTTTACGATAGATATTTTGATAGAAAATGTTATTTTGATTATGAATACCTTCTTAGAGAACTTTCACTCCAGAACCTTTCAAAAAGGATTGCTCGTGACATTATATTTTTATACAAAGTGGTTCACGGCCAAATTGATAGCAATCTTGTGTCGTCTTTAAACTTTCATGTACCGGCCCGAGTCGTTAGAAACTCAAGCGTGTTTTATAGATCTTTCCAAACGAGACCGTCCCCTTTGGCTAGAATGCAAATTTGTTTAAATGAATTTCCGACTCGTGCAGACATATTCTTAAATTTTACTGCGTTCAAACGACTACTTTTGATATGCATATTTTTGGTTTATGATTGTGAAATGTTTTAATTTCGAGAGCATATGTTGGGGGGGGGGGGGGGGGGGGGGTTGAGATTGTGTACTGTTTCAGGTGTTTTTTTCCTCCCTTTTTAAACTTTTTATGTGCCACCACACTGTAACCAACAGGTTGTTCTGGGGCATTATACAAATAAATGATTATTATTATTATTATTATTATTATTATTATTATTACATTGAGGGCAATGGAGCATGGACTTCCCATTCAGCAATGTTTGCTTATCTCCCGCCATATATAACTCACCCCATTTTGGCCAATGTCACCCTTGACCAGGGCAATGCAATTTCTACAAGTAGGCCATTTTTCTGAGTTTTTGAGGAAAAAAAAAAGCCAAATCGTGTTAAAATTAGGGGGTGGGTTGTGTTTTGGGGGTGGGGCATCTTTCAATATATTATGGTAACTGTCATGTTTTGGAGAGATTGGCTGTCGTAGAAAGGACACTGGCTACTCTATAACGAGAAAGAGGGAAAAAAGAAAAAAAATATGTGAGAAATCGAGGCACACGAGACAGATTAAAGAGACACTGGTGCGGTATACGAAATACCACAGTCGTCAATTTGCCGAGCACTCCCGCATCAGTTGGGTTCTGTCAGACTAGTGCACTCGCATACATTCTTTCACTTTTGCAGCTGAGTTCATTAACAGTTATGTAAGAGTCTAGTGTCTTTCATGAAGTGGGAGAAAAGCGCTCGTTTGGGTTCTTGCACGTTGGCCAAGGTTCCAACACTTTGGACCAGGGTCCGCCATCGATCGCTCAGAGGTCCTCGTTTCCCCGTGCAGAGGTGCCAGACAAAGCCGGAGTGTGGTCGGCAAACACTGGTCGAGCTACTCATCCGTCCCGTCCAGCGACTGGGGAGCGTCATCCTGCTGCTCAAAGGTCTCCCCTCGTTGCCTTTATTGCTCCAATCTCTAAAGGGACACTGACACCCCACCCCCCAAGAAACATCTTTGCTTTTGGCCAGGTGATCCACTATGGTGTCAGAAGACTGCCCAATCAATGTTTTGCTGCAGCGTGACATATATTCTGAATAAATTAAAAACACGCAAATACTAGAAACCGAAACTGGACTGGGGAGGAAGAAGAAATGCCGTATTTACTCTCATAACAAACACACTTTTTTCCCCAAAAAATTGACACAAATTTGGGGGTGGGTTCATTACGCGGTGTAAAATTTTTGCATGTGCACACTTTGTGCAAACATTGTATTAAGTGCCAACATGACACGGCAAGGTATTGTGGCACGTCTCCACGTCCCCAACCAGCCGTGGCACACCCACGGCTGGTTGGGGTCGCGCCACAGTAACCATGCTTTGTAAATTGCAAACCTTTTTAGGGCGCTTTCGGCGTGCCTTTTGCCAAAGGAAAAGCGCCTTATGAAGCTCGCTCAGCACAGAAAGCGACGTGACCATTCTTAGGCCTGATCAATTTCACGATTTCGCTTTCCGAAAGCGGACCACAGACGACGGCGTGTTTGTTGACATCAATGCATCAAATGGGTGAAGAATGTCCTGCGCTAGGCAGTTCTTCAACCCAGGCTTCGTCAAGTGTGCGTGCCACTTGGTTTCACGGTTGATCACTTCCGCAACTATGCCCTTGCAGCCATTATGAAAGTGGCTTGGCTTGGCCTGACTTGGCCTGTCCTCTTGGCAGCAAAAGAAAATGGCTTGGTAGCTAGCTAATTGAACGAGATTCGAGACTCGCGGAGCCAAAAATTGGAAATGCGCTCATTACGCAAGGGGGAAAAAAAATCCAAATTTTGGTACCTGTTGTGGCATTGATTATGCGAGTAAATGCTATAGAGGAGGAGAAAGTTACCAAAAGTCACGTGGTCCTGTGCAACCGTTTTTTTTTTTTTTTTTCTTTTTTTTTTTTTAATCTACGTATTTGCAGCTTTTTACAAGCCACAAAAAATAGGCATCATAATTTTTTTTTTTTTTTTTAGCATTGAGTGCGTGGCTTTGATGACCCACGACTTTGATTATATTTGGTGGTTGTGTCTAAACCATAGAAAAATGACCCGTGACCACGAAGAAGAGAGTGAGCGCGACTCAAACTGGTCGGTTCTCGATCGGCGCTTTTCGGGCAGAAAGAAAACAAATTTTGAGCTGCAAATTGTGTTCCGGGTAGTTGGGCTCTCATATGTCATATAGAAATAAAAACCTTGGCGAGCATAAATACGCTCTCGGTTTCCTTTTAACTCTTTCCTGACCATCGGAAAAGTAGCGATTTTCAAAGTCTCCATGCAAACGCTTTTAGTTTCCTAATTAATTTGCATATGGAGCAATATGACACTTGAAAATATGGCCAATAAGTTGTTCTTTCAAAAGAAACTGAGGTTGGTATAATGTTGGAAAAAGATTTTAAAATTGTATTTTTTGAAAATGCGACATACATGCGGAACCTGTATAAACGCCAAAACTTCTACAGCTGTGTCAATTTAAACGACGTATAAAAAAAAAGTGGAATATACAAATGTGCCCCACAGCTATTACTTCTGAAAGTTAGTGTACTCTAACTGACGTCTATTTTTGGTGCGTAGGAGAGTTAGCTTCGTAACACGTGTGCTTTTCAACTTATATTCGTGGAACACTGGTAGTGCACCTCACATCTGCAGCAGAGTGATTTCTTTGTGTTCTACCCTGGTATTGTGATAACCTGGATTCCTTCATATTTAGCATTTTTTTCTGCCTTGGCGGGAACATGGAACATGTACGCGGGCTCAGGACAGCATTGGAAATCCTAGTGATGCTTTCCGACAACCGTCTGTTAAGTGACGCCTATAACATCAGTTGAAGTGTCCCCGGAGTTCTTGAAGTCTAAAAAATATGCCGCAATACAGTTGAATTATAGGAATAATGGCATCCTTGTTAGGAGGACTGATACAAGCAGTTAGCCATGGTAGGCTAGTCCAACCACCGTTTCAAGGACTGTTTTTGACAGAGCTTCCCATAAAGCTCAAACCTACGTTGAAACCGAAACTCCAGTTCTCGGTCTATCCACGAGTAAAACAATTCTCTCCCCACTAAATTTAATTGCTTGTTGGCACTTGGAAACCATAGATGGGTGGTGATCGATGTGCTTGGTCAGGGAAGAGTTAAAGGGGAGCTCCAGCTGTTTTCTGAGATACCCAGACGCATTTGTGGAATACAAAGGTTTTGCTCTTTTCAGCGTGCTATCTCCAAGTTCAGAATAGCTATTGAGAAAATGGCAAATGAAGCTGATGCCAAAACCAACCATTTTTCCGCGCTCTTCGGTGGGCTGGCGTCCCATGTTGCGTAATTTGCGAGTCGAGCGGGCAGTCTAAGAAAACAATATTTTGCGCGGGTTTTTCTGTTTTGCTGGCTTAACCAGCATTCGTGTCACGCCTTCCTGGTAAACAAGCTCTATTAAACCCGTATTACATGTGACATCCCGTTCTCAGTGTTGCCAGTAGAACATTTGACAACTCTCAATACTAGTTGAGATGACCAAATTTTGAGGGAAATGAGTAACTTGCAAAAGGTTTGCTGGAGTTCTCGTTCAAGAAGGAAACGTCCAATTTTTAGGGGCTACTGTCGAGACCGGTTATAACGAAGTCGGTTATAACGAAATAGCGGCTACGGCGAAGCGATCACGATTTCCCATTTACGTTTTCACTTGGTTATAATCGAAGTCGGTTATAACGAAATAGCGTATGTAGCGAAGTGATTTCCGATGCCCGTTCACTTTGTTATAGCCGGTCTCGACAGTACACAACAATTTCGTTGGGATCGTGTAACATTCAAATGTATCTGGACCCGGTGAGGAAAACACTGCAACGGGGAGATGTAGGCAAACCTGCTGGCGTTGTTTTTAAGCAAAACACGGGTTTAAAGCTGTCCTCCTCCCGTCCACAAATGGACCTCTGTGAGAATGACCTCCCCGCCTGTGCAGAGATCCAGAAGCGAACGCCCAAGGAGAACAGGGACTCTCAGAACCTGGACCATGCGATTGCAGCGCTGAACCAGGTCATGCTGTGAGTATTGCTCGGGTCTGCGCTGGACATTGGCGGGCAGACCATCTGGCTTCTCCCTCCAAATGGACCGATTTCCATGGTCCACCTTGAGAAAAAGGGACACTGGGATGTGCACAACTTGCCATAATATACAGCAGGGGTTCTCAAACTTTTTGGTCTCGGGGAACCCCAGCAACCTTTAAAAAGTGCCGAGGAACACAACGCCCCCCCCCCTTCCCCACTGTTTTACTGCCTGGATACACTTTAAATAGAAGAGTAATATTTATTGCACAGATAAAACAATAAAGAGCAGAACACATCTGGCTGAAGGGTGGGATTACAATGAAAGGCAGTATACATATTACTGTGAAAGGTGGGGTTGCCTTGCTCGCAACAGTGAATCGATGCGTGGCTCAAAATCATGCTTAGGGCCAGCCTCATATCTGCTGCTGGGTCCAGTCGGTTCCTGTGCTCGCGGAACCCAAGCGAGCACTCTACGGAACCCCTGTGTTCTGCGGAACCCAGTTTGAGAACCCATGATATACAGGGTTACAGGGTGTTTCACGAAAGGTGGAAAAATTCAATATTGCGAAAACAATGCATCGCACCGAAAAAATACTTCTGTCGTTTTGGTCTTAGGCCAGGGGCCTGTTCACGAAAATTATTAAAGTTCGGGATAATTAAAGGGGCCCTGCAAAGACTTTTTACTGTTTTTTAATTTGCACCGAACCTGAGCGCACTGAACGTGGTAACTTAGTGAAACTTTTTTTTTCGCGAAATTTCCTTTATTTTAAAAGTTATAGGCAATTTAGAATTACAAAAACAAGCAAAAAATAACCTCCTTCATGACGTCGTAGGTCCTGGCTTGAGTGACCGTGAACTAGAGGAGGAATAGTGAGCTCATCGAGCGCTCACGGCTGCCGCACTCCGTGTCGACGGCGCCAGAGGGCGCCACTAAAGCATGTTCTGGATAGGCTGTATGCAGCGGGCAGCCAAAGCGGCTTTCATTGCGTTTGCTGCTCGATTAAACACTAATTCGGCGTGACACTTCATTGACCACAAACGACAGCAAATACGGGGTAAAGATCAGTTCAGAATGGGAGCCACTTCGCGCTGCCATACCGCGAAACAGCGAAACCGCAGGAGAAAGCCTCTCGCCGAAAGCCTTCGGAACGCTTGGAGCCGGTCGGATCCTCCTGTCCATACGACTGCAGCGCCACCGCGTACATCCGGGATTTTTCCGTGTCGGCGCCTTATCCCACTACTCCTTTCTAGTATGTGCCGCCTCTTCCACCGCTTGGTGGCGGGTATGTCGACGGGTCATTTCTTGTTTCCACACTTTATAAGCTGCATTTCTTTCTTTTTTTCATCTATAATAGTGAACAAAAACTACTCTTATAAATAAGTTAAACGGTTCGCGCCACTTATATTTTGTATTTTGACCAAAAAGAAGTTTTTAGTGGCTCTGACCAGTAGTAAGCCCAGGACCAAAGACGTCACATTTTGCGCGCTTTCGGTACCGCGGGTCGCCCTCGTCGGTGGAGGAGGTTTCCGTGTCGCCCGGTTAAAATATGGCGCACTGATATTTAGCTACTCTTTCCGTGCCCGCTGGCTTGCCCGAACCCCAAGAGACTTGGAAACCGCATAAAAGGTAGACGCTTAAATATGATTGCAGGGCCCCTTTAAGTAGTTAATTATTTTTGCATAATTAATTTTAAGGCTGTGCAAATATCGAATAGGAGTTATCGAATTGAATTTAAAAAAGAAGAATACCGTATTTACTCGCAGAATGAACACACTTTTTTTTCCGAAAAATCGATGCAAAGTTGGGGGGGGGGGGGGGCGTTAGTTACGCGAAGTAAAATTTTTGCGTCCGTATTTACTCGCATAATGGACCGACCTTTTATCCTAAAAAATGGAAGTAACTTCTTATCTCTTTGCGCGCGGCGCCCGACCCCGTAACCAAACTAAGCTGTGGAAAAAAAAACTCTTTGCTTTCTTCTTCTCTTAGTTCCTTGGGTTTTTTTTTTGCCGCCTTTCGCAAGTTGTTTTGTTTGCTTAGGCGTTGCTTGGGCGAGGGCTCTCCGCTTATCTTTCTTATCTCCTTGCGCTATCTACCTACCCTATCTATCTACCCTAAGCGTCAGAAAAACCCAAAGTTACAGCCACACGTGCCTTCTTTTTTTTTCTCAATAAGAGCACAACCTAACATCGCGACATGTCCTTTTTTTATATTTATATATCAGAAAAGGGGCATTTGGAATATTTGGTCTCAATTTTGTGGGAGAAAAAGGGCACCGGGAATTTTAATATTTATAAATAGCTGTTAAATCTGAGTAAACAGGTTTGAACAATATAATCTGAAGTAAGAAAAAAAACATGTGGTTAGGTGGCGCAAGTCAACGTCCAACCGCTGCTATGCATTCATTCCTCTGTCCATCTATCCTGTTTTAGAGAGCCTAGATCTAAAAGAGGGAGTAAGCGAAACTGAAAGAACGGAGACGGCTCCCGCGCAGATGGGTCGTAAGTCGTAAATGCGCGTGTGTTGTGTTGTCGCATGGAAAGAAGGCGAGCAGGCGGAAGAGCGACGACGCCTGCTGCGCCTGCCCGATGTTTCCGATCGACACTTTCATCTTTTCGTCACCTTCTCGCAATTCGTATTTCAAACGCAACTATCGAACGGTTGGAAACCCTCTCGCGTCTGGGCACACCATTTTTCAGTTTCGTTTCATTCTGAATCAGAATTTGCAGCTTGCGGTTCCAAAACAGAGATGACAACTCGGCTGATTTTATTGGCGTGGTTAACATGGATGTCTTTTTGTGATCTTGCAGTCAGCGATTTCTGTGAGTGTGGCAAGTGTGTTCGACATCGGCGCTTTAGTCTGAAACAGAGGGCCTTACTCGTGAAAAGAATGGGGCATGGCGCGGAATTCCGGCCTCCCAAGAATTCCTCTCTGGAAGCGGTGCAAACGGGACGTTTCGGTTCTGATTCAAGGTTAGATTGCGTCACGGTCAAGAGTAAATCTGCGTGCTATAAAGTTTGTGACATTCGTTACTTTTCTTTTTTCTAACCTGTGAGTTCGATTTTTATGGAATGGTAGGACCAAGAGGTGTTTCTCGCATGATCTGTCTAACATCATTGCGCTAACATTGGGAGAAAAAACGGCTCTTTTGTCAGCTCCGCGTCGACCGCATGTCTTTGGCTGAATATATTGAATATTTGAGTTACCAAACACTAGGAATTCGATTCGCAAATCAAATTATTCAGGAACTTCTATTTGATTTGAATTCGTATATTCGAGCATTTGCACACCCCTAATTAATTTTTTAAGTATTGACTTTAAGGGCATGGTTTCAATTAGAATCTTGCCGAGTATCATCAAAAAAAACTAAATCAACAAATTGCAGAACGATAGAAGGCACGTGCGGTATTTTATGAGTTTCTGAAAAATCACACATTTTCGACAGGTTTTTAAGTTTCGGTTTGCAATCTGAGTGCTTCTCGGCACTGACAGCACTGCACCCCATGGAGAAATAGTGCAACCAACCTCTGCTGCGTTGTGTGAGGACAGCAGAGCAGTGGTTGGTTGTTCATTTTTATGCTCGATATTAGAACATCCAGAGCAAACCGCCAAGAAACAATGAACAAACGGGGCCACCTGAAAAGCCAGTGAAGGTCTGGAGACTGTTGCATTGACCAGGAGTGCAGCATCCTTGCATTATTGAGATAACCCTCGCTTTCAGGAACATCAACGAAGGCAAGAGGAAGACCGAGAGCCAGGTCGCCATGTTCGACATCTTCAACGACATTGAGAACTGCCCGGTGAGGAGGGGGAGAGTTGGGGCACCTTGGAATGTGGTTCCATATTGCGAGCGGCACTTTGACGAGCATAACAAGACACTTGTGGAGGGCGACCATAGCCTTGAATTTCGATGCTCACTGATTCAGCTCGAATTTTGTGTGTGAACTAGGAACCCAAATGACTAATCCCAATCCTTTATTTTGGTACGAGACACTACTGGCAACGCTGAAAACGTAACATGGCTCCATATGGGGCCAGTGCAACTCTGTTCCTGACAGGTTACGAGATGTCCGAGGTTAAGCTCACGCTAGCAGAACAAACAAGCATTTTGAGACAGCCTGCTCTATTTGCAAGTTATACAACATCACCCGACTGGAGAGCGCAGGAAAATTTTCCGCTTTGTTGTCACCTTGATTAGCCATTTTCTCAATAGCTATTCTGAATTTAGAAATAAAAAGATGCCGGGAAGCCTGGGTATAGAGAAAATGTGTTTAGTTTGGGTAGCTTGTGCAACCGTCTGAGCTCCCGTTCAAGTCTGACTGCCGCAGTCCAAGAATTGCCTTTTTGTTCCCCTTTGTCACTTTTATTTCCTTCGTTTGTCTTCACCCTTAAGGGAGACACTAACCAAAAGGGTCAACTTTTGAACCTTTCGCTTAATATGAATAAAATTTACAGTATATACTGAAAGTTGCGAGGCAGAAAGCAGTGCAAAGTTTCATCTGCATACGTGAATTGTAGAAGAAATGTTAGTTGTTTTTATCAGGAACACACTGACTTTGTTTAGGAAAACTATTGTTAGAAAACCAATATAGGGTGATTCCACGTCAGTTCATGCAATGATGGTCCGGGTCATAATTTAGATATTTTTGTTAAAAATATAAATGAAAGCCATGTTCTTGGGAGGAACACTCAGCTAGATACGAACGCCGTAACAATTTTTTGTTCGCTGAGATATAAAATAGAGAAGCTTGAGGCGTGGAAATTGAGAAGATTTCACAAAGCTACTTTGCACAGTCGTCATTTCCTTATCGAACCTTTCACGGCACCATAACTTTTTTAATAGGTTTTACAAAGGCTATACAACATATACACAAACAATTAAAAATATCCATAAAATATTTCTATGCAAACAAAAATATCAAACATGGCATACAAACGCGTTTTAGAGACATATTCACATTTTTTTTGCAAATAAACCTTCTTTCATAATACTTCACAAAACATATCAAAATGCGGGTATTTAAATATTCTTTACGAATATATAAAGATAATAAGCCCACCCTTAAATATCTTTTTGTTATCAACACGGAAATGCGGCTGATTTCTCAAAATGTGGCAAGATTGGGCGTCGATATTTAAAAAACTCCATCTTTTATTTTCTTTAAATTCCCCTTGGCACTTTGCAGTGACTTGAACTAACCTGTGATGGCAAAAGATTGAGTAACATATGACCTCTAAGCGGGAAAAGCTACAACAAACCTTCTCTCGGAGCGAGCCGACGTCTTCGTCATAGCGGCTTTGCCGCACAGCACCAAACGTTTTGAGCGTTAGTTATGGCATGTATTTTATATTATTAAAATTCTTTTTTATAAGCGGTGAGTATTAGTGACGTGAAAAGGAACTTTGAGCTGGAATACCATTAATTAGCTTACAATTCACAGGAATAAAACGGCCCCACTCTGCAAATTCGCTACCTATGCATCATACATAAGCTTAAAACTCTCAGTTGCGCGAATGGCCATGTATACATCTGGCCTCTCGGCATATGATGACTTTCACACATGAGTTGCCTGGATTCCTTTGACAGGTTTTACGGTGGTCCACTTTGCTTGCTTCACCGCACGAAACTCTCGAACTCGAAGACAGTTATGAGCAGTGCGCAGAGTGGTTTGACGCGTTTTGCGAAGCGCTGAAGGCATGTAGTTCACACCAGGAACGCAAGCGATTGTGCGTGCTTCTGCCACCAATAATCCTGAAGAAAACAATATTGCGTCTGGTGTCGGAGGCGACTGCCTACATGATTGATCAAACATAAAAACTGAAGCGCAAAGGTGGTGTTTGGGCAACCCCTGATCCCTACATGGGGAAAAAGGCGAATGCCGAAGACGTGAGGGTTGCAATTGAGTACTACACACGCGACGGCCTCGCATGCTCTGTTCAAAGCCCCAACAAAAAGGACGTCGTCAAAGCCATGATCAACGACATGTCCAAAGTCGTAAAAAGGTTTATGGCCCGCTCTATTAAGGAAGCTAACCAGCTGTTTAGGAAGGACCATCCCCATCCCGAACTAGGCATCTCCAAATTTTATTCCTTACGACCAAAATGGGTAAAAAAAAAAAAAGTCCCGAGCACGAGGTGTGCGCATGCATATATTGCGTCAATTTTCAGTTGCTTTTAACGGCAATAACAAATGCCCCAAAGAAGACATTTACTGAAGACGACCTCAAGCGCTCCACGAACGATTGCTTTCTGTGCCGTTGCGAAAAGTGCCCAAAAACGCAGAGCATCTCGCTGCAGTCGCTTCATCTCGACGAAGACGAAGAGATCTGTTTCGCGTTATGGGACGCTGGCGAACTCGTCAAAAAGGTTATGGACACTTCTGCCTTCCTGCGGCAATAGGAGAGCGCAAAGTATATGAGGCATTCTTACATCCTTGACCTTGAACGAAGCCTGATACATGACACAAGAACCGCCTTACCACCCAAGGCAGTGATGTTCCACTTCGATTTTGCGAAAAAATGGACAGTACTCTTTCCAACCGTAGTGCAGAGTTTTCATTGAAAAAAATATCAAGTGTCTCTCTCCACCAGTGTGGTTACGTCCACGCAAAACACGCAAAGCTTTGCCGTTGTCACCGATGGTACACGATACATGACACAGCTCACGCTCTTCTGGCCACATAGGTCATAAAAGAGTATGTTAATGTTCATTTCCCAGTCTTTTCTGAAATAATTTTTGTATCAGACGGAGCGGCGGCGCATTTCAAGAATCGCTTCCAATTCCACGAATTGTCTCGGAAGCCGCACTCTTCGGCAAGATGGATCTTTTCAGCCACTGGACACGGAGAAAGCGCTTGTGATGAAGTAGGTGGAAGAACCAACGCTCACCAAGTTGAGATCTTCGCTCAACTCAACGATTGCCTCCGCTAAAGACTTTGTGGAAGTGCTACGTAAAAAAGTAACAAATGTCTGCATTTTCCACCTGTCTGTGGAACGGGTTCGAGAGTTTCGTGCGGTAAAGCAAGCAGAGTGGACCACCATAAAACCTGTGAGAGGAATCCAGGCTTCTCATCTGTGGAAGTCATCATATGCCGAGAGGCCGGATGTACACATGGCCACTCGCATAACTGTGAGTTTTAAGCTTATCTATGCATAGTTAGCGAATTCGCACAGTGGGGCCGTTTTGTTCCTGTGAATTGTAAGCTAATTAATGGTATTCCAGCTCAAAGTCCATTTTCGCGTCACTAATACTCAGCCCTTATGAAAAAAAGAATTTTATTAATATAATATACATGCCATAACTAACGCTCAAAACGTTTGGTGCTGTGCGGCAAAGCCGCCTTGACGAAGACGTCGGCTCGCTCCGAGTGAAGGTTTGTCGTAGCTTTTCCCGCTTGGAGGTCATATGTTACTCAATCTTTTGCCATCACAGGTTAGTTCAAGTCACTGTAAAGTGCCACGGGGAGTTAGAAAAAAATAAAAGATGGAGTTTTTTAAATATCGACGCCCAATCTTGCCGCATTTTGAGAAATCAGCCGCATTTTCGCGTTAATAACAAGAAGACAATTAAGGGTGGGCATATAATTTTTACATATCCGTAAAGAATATTTAAATACCCATATTTTGATATGTTTTGTGAAGTATTATGAAAGATGGTTTATTTGCAAAAAAATTGTGAATATGTCTCTAAAACGCATTTTTATGCCATGTTTGATATTTTTGTTTGCATAGAAATATTTTATTGATATTTTCAATTTTTTGTGTATGTGTTGTATAACCTTTGTAAAACCTATTAAAAAAGTTATGTTGCCGTGAAAGGTTCGATAAGGAAATGACGACTGTGGAAAGTAGCATTGTGAAATCTTCTCAATTTCCACGCCTCAAGCTTCTCTATTTTATATCTCAGCGAAAAAATTTTTTACGGCGTTCATATCTAGCTGAATGTTCCTCCCAAAAACATGGCTTTCATATATATTTTTAACAAAAATATCTAAATTATGACCCGGACCATCATTGCATGAACTGACGTGGAATCACCCTATAATACTATACATTTTTCTTCATTAAACATGCAGCAGAATGCCTGGAGAGTGCAACCATAAAAACAAAATTTCCAAAAAGCAATTTATTTTATGCTAACATTGCAGTCAAAACATCAAATGAATGTTTTGCCTTCTATGTCGTTGACAAAATCTTAATATCTTTTATAAGAGATATCCACAAAGTAAAAAAACAATGCCACAGTTGCATTTCCCATTACATTTAAGAAAAACAATGAGTTTGTCTTTCCTTTCGTCCCATTACCAAACGATAGTTTTCCTAAAGTGAAATTTATGCCAAAAAGTGGAACGGAGAAAAATGCGTTCAAAGTGCTCCAATGTCTACCTTTTCTTTAGCATCGGTGGACCGAAAGTAATTTATAAAAAAATAACTCTGCAGTGTAAACTAATGAAACTTTCTGCAGATACTCTCTGGGTGTTGGTGGGTGTAAATATGGCATTTAAGGAGGGTAGTGTCCCTCCTTAAGGGGAGACATGGGTCTTTGGAGCCAAAAACTTCCTAAAACTGCATTCTTTTGAAATTGGCGATGGCCGTTGTTCTTCTGAATCTACCACGCTTCTAATTTCATAGATGAACATTTCAGCTATATATCAATTTATAATGTCTACACGGGCCGAGTGTGTATTGAAGTTGACTGTAAAACATTATTTCCACAAAACACAATTTTTGGACTCATTGAAAATTTGCAGGAGGGCTATCTCAGCATCTGGTGCAGATAGAAATATAACTTTTTCTGAAATGTGTAGCTAAATGTGTGATGCATACAATGTTGAGAGTAGATTTTTTAATATAAGCCTAGAAATTTTTTTATATGATTTTTTGTTTTATTACTTGTTAGCCCTACACTGAGCACTGAACTTCAGTGTATGATAAAATCACTAATAATGGGTTTATCTTAAAAGTACTTCCAACATTGTATTCTCTACACTTGATAAAATATAGCCATGTGTTAAAAATGATATTTTGTTGAGCAGTTTTTTTCCTATTGTTGCTCCAAACAAAGGCAGGCAAGTTTCAATTCTCTCGAGGACAATTCTACTGACTAAGAAAATGACCAGATATATGAAATCAGCACAAAAAGCTGAACAAGCTTGTGCAGTTTCATTGGGTGCGGTCATAAAATAAGGAAAAAAGCTCCAAGACCAGTGTTTCCCCTTAAATGCTGATGGAGGGCTCTATATGAGGGAAGGCTGAATTTGGCGTAAAGCAATTAAAAATAACGCCAGTTTTTTTAAACGCACGCAGACGGGATGGTGTTTAGTGGAGGTGGCAAATGTGAAAGCATCAGTTTCCAAGAAAATAACAGTGTGCTCGGCTAGACAGTTGCAGTTTGGACGTGACTAGTTGCAAAGAAGAGACCTTGAACAGATTAATCCCAGGTGTAACCAGCTGTATTGTGGAAAGGAAAAAAAGGTATCCAAGCGTTTCTTGTGTCTTTGAGACTTGGGAGGTCTAGTTGAGCTTTGGGCGGAGTTCTTTACTGAGGTCTCTAGTTATTGGCAGAAAGAGAATGGCAGCATATAACGCTTGGGCTTTTCGTGAGCATTTGAGTGACTTGTGGATGGCGGCCATGTCCCTGGCAGCCCAACATCCTGTCCGGCCACCGGTTCTTCGTGACATCGCTGGAGGTGCTGGAGATTGGGGACAACTGCCTGAGCAGGAAGGGGGACACCCTGGTCCTCTTCCTCTTCTCGGACGTCCTAGAGGTGACTGTTCCCCGCCAAACCGCGAGTTTTACGACTATTGTTCATAACCTATATGTGAAAACTTCGATGCAGCGACTCGATTGCTGCGCCATTGGGCTTGCCCCGCTACATGCTGTGACAACTCCCCGAAATGTGACGAATTTGCAGCAACGCTTTGCCGAAAGCTCATTTCGGTTCTCAACTGCCTCCTAATAATTCGGGTCTCGTTACATTGCCGGACCATTGCAGTAGGATGGTGCATATTTTGGATGATTTGTGATATCAATTCGGATTACGTACTGTTGGATTTGACCTTCGTATTAAACGTCGGAAGTTGTCCAACGTGTGTAACTCTAGTTGCTCAAGGTTTGTGCAGCTTTGCTAGCTCCGGCAAGTGTGCTCGTTAATAGGCTTTGGTGCGCCGCGGTGAGGCAACCGTATTGCGGGCACTGTGATTCTGCATGCTGAGCTTGGCTGCAACGCAGATGCGTTCTCAGAGAAAACGCCTTCAGAGCGCGATATTGAAAGAAAATAATTGTGAATGTGGCGCACGTTGATAGAATAATGATAATATAATCTTTATTTATGATAATATATAGGGGTGTGCGAATACCGAATAGTAGTTATTGAATCGAATACCGAATCGAATTAAGAGAAAAAAGCCGCATATTGAATCGAATGTCGAAAGGGGATTTTATTTGTAGGAATTTTTCAAAGTGTGCTGTGAATGAGATAATTATATGTGAAGAGTATGCACCTGGTGCAGAATATGCATCTTGTACGGAACAAAAGCTCAAATGCATAGAAATTCCGGAGAAAAAAAACAAAACAAAAACTAGCTGTTGATGGATGTTGGGCACTAAAGATCCAATTTTATGGCGCAAACATAATCTACCTTACCCTAAGCGTCACAAAAAAAACCAAAGTTACAGCCATGCGTGCCTTTTTTTCTCAATAAAAGCATGACCTGACACTGTGACATGTCCTTTTTTTATATTTATATATTTCAGAAAAGGGGCATATTACGATATTGGTCTCAATTTTGAGGGAGAAAAAGGGCACCCGGGATTTGATATTTTATAAATAAACAGATAGGGGTTCAATCTGAGTAAACAGGCTTAAACAATATAATCTGAAGTAAGAAAAAAAACCATGTGGTTAGGTGGCGCAAGTTACCATCCAACTGCCGCTATGCATCAATTCCTCCGACAATCTATCCTGTTTTAGAGAGCCTAATTTAAAAGAGGGAACAAGCAAAACTGAAACCACGGAGTCTGCTCCAGATTGGTCGCAAGTGCGCAGTGTTGTTTAGTCGCGTAGAAAGAAGGCGAAGAGCAACAACGCCTGCCCCAAAAGTGAAGTATTTGCCTGCCTGATTGACGCTTTCGTCTTTTCGTCGCCTTCTCGCAGTGCGTAATTCAAACTCGGCTATCGAACAGTTGGAAACCCTCTCAAATCTAGGCACACTATTTTTCCGCCGTTCCATTTCATTCCGAATCAGAATTTGCGGCTTGCAGTTCCGAAAGAACGACAACAACTCGGCCAGTTTGCTGTTAACGTGGTTTTCTTTTTGTGATCTTGCAATCGCCGATTTCTGTTAGTGTGGCAAGTGTGTTCTACATCAGCGCTTCAATTTGAAACGAGGTGCTTTTGGCATGGCGCGGAATTCCGGTTTTCCAATAATTCCTCTCTGGAAGCGGTGCAAACGGTGTTTGGGTTGTGATTCAAAATAAGATTGCGTCACGGTCATGAGTAAATCTGCGTGCTATAAAGTTTGTGGTGTTCGTTACTTTTCTCTTTTCTAACCTGTGCGTCAGATTTTTGTGAAATGGTAGGACCAAGAGGTGTTTTTCGCATGGTCTGTAGAACTTCACGGCTCTAACATCGGGAGGAAAAATGGGTCTTTTGTTAGCTCCGCGCCGACCGCCCATCTTTGGCCGAATATATTGAATTTCGAGTGACCGAATACTAGGAATTCAATTTGCGAATCGAATTATTCGGGAACTTTCTATTTGATTCGAATTTGTATATTCGAGTATTCGCACACCCCTAATAATATAACCTTTATCGACTCTGTCTTCTCAACATGGCAAGCACCATTGCTCGAAGGTTTCAAGAAAGGTTCGGAGCAGAGTTGTGGAAGGAAAAGACCGGTTATTATGCACGACCAGAATGTCTGGAATAGCAGCGAACACCCTTGGTCGATTCGCGATTTGGAGGTTTCAAAAGGAATATTTGACCGAGAGGGTTACATATCCAGGTAGGTACGTTTCCAAACAAGCCCTCACAAGGTGTGGGCAAATGTGGAAATTTTGCTCTGCATGTGTGTTATTTCGACGCTTAAATTACTCCGCAATTTTGACACCCATTGCCTAGTATATCGATGTAGAATGTTCTAAATTCATTTCGCTTTGGGATTGGACATGTAAGGTGGATACGATGAGAACGTGAAAATTTTGGTTTGAATTTTCACTACTGAAAATATCGAAAGAAAAAAGTGCATTTTCGTACGTCGTCAGACAACTGCCTCAAGATAGCCTTTGATGGGGAAGCAAGCGACTATGCACCAAGTCTATGAAAGGTGCATAATGCATTTTTAACTAAGAATGAAGTGGTTTTTTAAAGACAGCTTTATATTTTGTATAAATTCTGCCCGATATCGAAATCATTTATTTAAAATCAAATTTACTCACGTCGTGCCTACTTGGTTTGATCCCAAAAGTCTGTACTCATACACGTCCATTTGAACGCGAGTTGTAGTTGTGCCACATTGTTCTGGATGTCCTCCCTTAGCCGGTGAGCAAATTTCCCTAAAATAGGCGAAAGGTGAGAGACGGAAACTAGGAATGCCACTGCTTTTCATCCTCTCTAAGCTGACACTGGTGGGAGCTGCGTGCTCGCCGGATCAATGCCTCATTTTCATCGCCTCTCTGTACGTACGGTGCCTGGAGCGTGTGTCCGACCGGCTGCGTTTAGCGTCCTGTCTCGCCCATACATTAAATGTGGTCCTGAAGTGGCAATGACCGACGTTGCGGCAGCCGGAGTGTCCTGCCATCACCATTCTGGCAGTTGTTCGGCAGAACGCTGGCGAAAAGCAGGAGCGAGTGTCGCTGTTTTCCCAACTGTTGAAGCTTCCGTGGACTGTCACACTTTAGAGCGCCCTGTGGCAGATTGGGCATCTGGCACGATCCCGGGACACTGCCAGGATCGCAACCGGCAAGAGCGTGACACTCGTACGACGTCGTGGGCCATAAACGGGGGCACTTTCTCGGACGCGGTAAACACACCGGTCGGAAACGCGTTCGTACGGGTGGATGCCCGATCACGGCTTGTCCGAGGAGCTTCTGCAGCACTCTCGGCTTAGAGCGGAACGGAGTAGCACGAACATATGCGAGGGGAGTTCTCGGAAAGGGTTTGCGCGAGTTCTCCTCCAAGAGATTCTGCCACATCTAAAACTCTGTTCCCGAGAAATTCCCCTAGGTATGTTCGTCGGTGCACGACCACGTGCCATACATTCCCTGGTGCGTACGTTATTGTTCGCCCGGTCTGTAGTTTTACGCTTTACACCAGGGGAGAAATGGGTGTTTCTCGAGATTGAAAAATATGAGAACCCCCCCCCCCCCTCCACCAACGAGTATTTCCGACTGATTGGAACTGTGACAAAAAGGCAGGAGAAAAAGCGGTTGCAAGCGTGGCATGCCCGCTCCGACTCACGGAGGCTCCACGTGACTCTTTCCCTCAACAGCTGTCCCGGCGCCGCACCAAGGGCCCGCCCTCGGCCAAGAGCCCCGCCCACCCGGCCTCCGCCCCGGCCCGCAGCTACAAGGGCCACAAGCACCTGGCCCTGGTCTCCCTCTTCGAAATCAAGAGGGTCGTCGACCTCACCGTCGTAGACGAGAACGGTCTGGACGCCTTTTGTGCCTCCTTACTGCGTCTCCTGCCGCAGTTTGTGCCCGCATAGTCGCCGTTCTATGTTTTAACTGCGCTCGAGGTGCGCCAGACGTCGAGGAGATGGACTGCCCCTCCCCGTGCTTCTTGCCAGTGGCTATGCGCATCCAGATGTCAGGGTAGAAACCATCTTGGAAATGAGGGCATCTAAATAATCGTCAAGTCGATTCGAGACACGGGTAAAGGGGAAATGCCGGAAAAAGTAGGAGCTATAGAAAAAAGGAGAGACACGTTGTGCTACACTTTTATCAGCTTGCCTGCACTCTACCCATTTTTTTTTTTGACAGTGTTTGGAGACATGTTTTAAGACAGGAAATTGTTTATCTTGGCGGATATGTGTCTCAAGTTACCGAGGAACCGCCTACTTGTTTCGGATTCCTTCTCGAAGCCGAGTTTACAAAGAACCGGTTCAACGGCCGTACAAAGCGCAAAGCGGCCGCTGCGTCAACTGGGAGCGCACTCTAGGACGCCCCCGTGCTCCCTGCCCGAGGGGCAAAAAACCACCTTTGCTACCGAGGGTTTGAGCGTGGCTGTCCCGCCGTCTGCAGTGGACGTGAAGAACGCCTTTGGACTGGTGCTGCGGCTGGCCGAGGACACGCGGGAGAACGTGTACACGTTTGTGTCGCTGTGTGACCAGCCAACTGCCAAGCTGGACTTCCTCTGGACGCTGTGCAGGCACATGGCCAAGGTGTACAACGTGCCAGACTACGTGAGTGGCTCGGGGGCACTGTCCGGAGTGGGACGCACCTTGCGGTCCTTCTGCGGAGTTTGATTTAGTTGGCATTTCATTTTCACTGCTCGAAGAACAGTAAAGTATCGCACCCCAAAAAGTGAAAACATTCTTCTGTAGAGCACTGAGAGATGAACATCAAAGATCATTTGTTCCATTTTTATCTAGGTCTGTTTACCATAAACACCCATGGTGAGAAGATAAATGGTAAAATATATTGGGTGGGCAATCTTTGGCAATGCAGCATTTTATCATGGGCCATAAATACGAGGAGGGGCAGCTATGAACCACACAACATGGGAACTACCGTATAAACTAATGCAGGTCGAACCGGAACATAGGTCGACCCCCTAATTTACAAGTTGCAAAAAGCAAAAAAAGTTTTGATGGCAATATATTGCAACCTTACCTTGGTAACAAATTTGGCCAAGCATACGGAAGGACGAGAAAACACGGCGTATTACACGCAATAAAACAGGAAGTGCGCAAGCGACACTACTCAGATTTTTCAGAGCCTTCGTGTGACGACTAGGTCGCTAACGCAATTTAAAGGGACGATGTTGTTCCTTTTTTGAATTGCGCCCTCGAGAGCCCGGAGCATGAGCGACCTCGACGGCTTTCGTGTGGATTCACTCCAATGTCACAGGTGGCGACCTGGCGCGCAGATCCCAATAAAATTTGCCACTTTTGTTCCCTAGTCGGGGTACACTGCAGTCCTTCCACAAGATAAAGTTTTCTTCGCCTTGCTGTACGCCGCCAGTTTTTGTCTCTGGCCTCGCCAGTAGCATATGCTCTTAGATACACCGAACCCTAGCTGCGCTGCGAGATTCCCGTGGATCTCTGCATAGGCGATTGCCTTCTTCTTGAAGACTACCGTGAACTGTCTTCTACTTCGCTCATTATCACTCTGGCAGCGGCAACGGTAGATGTAACAAAACAAGGAGCACAAGTGAAAGTGAATCGTGACAAGTGGATGAGTGCTAGGCGATTGCAAAGAAAAACAAGATGGCGGCTTCAGCCACCCAGTGTTACGAGATTATTTTTGTTTTTCCGCTAATGACCGTTATGTAAGACGAGGGTCAACTTTTGCAGGTCCATTCTCAAAAATAAATTTGACCTATATTCCGGTTTGTATGGTATACTCTACTGTATTTAGCGGCTGTTGGATGCTCAATTTGATAAGCTCCTGTTTGTCGCAACCTTCGGTATTAGCAGAGACGCCAGGAAATTTCAACTCGAGCTTAATTTAACATATTTTTGTATATCAAATTATTGATGAATCTAACTATTTTACGGTCCCCTTTGAATTCAATATATTCGGGTTCGACTGTACATCATTCATTTGACACCATGAAACAGCTTGAAATCAGTTGGGAACAAAGTCTACAGTCCAAAGAGTGAAGCCCTGCCTTCCCCTGATGTCTCGTTTTCATTGTTGCTAGTAGAGGCTTTCACTTCGAAAAAAAAAAGAAGTGAGGACCATAGTATTGTAAATTCGATAACTTCACTAAAGAAATTACTTTGGCCCAATATCTGGGTTAATAGTTCAGTGATGTTTGTCACTGTTTAGCAAAATTTCAGACAAATTGGGGACTATGTAGAAAACGCCGGAGTACCCCTTTAAGGTGACCAACAGCCATCAAAATATATTAGTTTGAAATAATGTTCTACCGAACTCGTTTTATTTTTCTGAGGGACTACACAAGAATAACGACATTAAAACTACAAGGAATGTTTCTGCGTCCTAACCGGGCGCTGCTCACAAGGCATCTGCCCTCTTCTCCTTTCTCCTCTCTTGCCGTGGGGGCGACTTGAGTTGTTTAGTCTACCCTCACGGAGGTCTGGCCGTCTGGCCCGCAACCGGGCCCCCGAGCTGGTGTCGGGTATCCCCGGTGCGTGCCAGCCTCCTCCGCGGCTCGATGGAGCGTGCTGCGGGAAAGACGATGCTGTCGCTGCAAGCCTCTACATCACTCCCCCCCTAGTGGCACAGAACGCAGAAAGGTGGCACGAGCAGGAGAACTTGAAGTTTATGGTTCACGCAGGGAGAGTTGAAGCCTGTCCGGGTAGTGAACTCGCCGTCCGGAGCGTGTGGTTCTTTCCGGCTTTTTCGAGATAGGGAGCGCCCCCTGGTCTTGCGCGGATACAGAAGCCGGTGAGGAACGAGGCGAAGAATTTGTAGCTGGTGGAAGGATGGGGAGGGGGAAATCGGCGTTGGAAGGGGTGTTTACAAAAGCGGGCTTCAGGCGGTCAGTGGCGATTACTTGGTTGTTTCCTCTGATTGTGATCGTGAATTGTTTGGGTCCCCGTTTTACGACCTTGTAGGGGCCGTCGTACGGTTGTTGGAGGGGAGTTCGTACCGCGTCGTGTCGAACAAACACGTGTGTGCAGGTGTCGAGATGTGTGCTGACGTAATGGTTTCGACGAGCCGTTCGAGGTGGGGTCGCGTGTAGTCCTTTCATGACCTCTTTTAGGCGGGTCACGTAGCTTATTGGGTCGGACAAGTCTCTGCTGCTCACTGGCGGGAAAAATTCGCCACGTAATCTGAGTGTGGTGCCATAGACCAACTCTGCTGTTGTACACGAGAGGTCTTCCTTGAGCGTTGTCCTGACACCAAGAAGGACGGAGGGCAGAACATCAGTCCAGTCGGTGCGCTGGTGTGCTTTCAAGGCTGCCTTCATTTGCCGATGGAACCGCTCGATGATCCCATTGGCAAATGGATGATAGGCGTTTTTTTTCGCATGCTTTGATCCGAGCAGGCGCGTCAGTTGAGTGAAGAGTGACTATTCAAACTGGTGTCCGCGATCGGTCGTGATGATAGACAGTACTCCGAAACGTGAAATCCAAATTGACACAAAAGCGCGAGCGACGGTTTCGGCAGTAATGTCCGAGATGGGAATAGCTTCCGGCCAGCGTGTGAATCTATCTATGCAAGTGAGGATGTACCGCTGGCCTTGTGATGGTGGTAACGGTCCAAAAATGTCAACGTGGACCTGGTCGAACCTTGCATCAGGAGTCGCGAAGGTGGAGAGGGGCGTGATGGTATGTCGCTGGATCTTAGCTCGCTGACAGGATATGCACTCTCGAGCCCACTGACGAACATCGCGATTCATGCCGGGCCAAACGAAGCGTGAAGTGACGAGATGCTGTGTTCCTCGTATGCCCGGGTGCGATAGCGAGTGCATTTTCTCGAACACCAGTTGACGGAAGTGTGCGGGAAGAAAGGGACGAGGCGCTCCCGTCGACATGTCGCACCACAGAGTTGCGTCATTCATGGGCAGTGGTACCTCGCGCAGCTCCAAGTGCGTAGCTGTGCGCAGTTGGCCGAGCTCGGGGTCTGTTTTCTGAGCATCAGCAAGGGCGGCGAAGTCCAGCACTGGGCGTTCAGCAGCGCCGATGCAGAGGCGTGGCAAGGCATCCGCCACCGGGTTGTCGCGGCCGCTCACGTGTCGCACGTCCGTTGTGAACTCCGAGATGTTTGACATTTGGCAAAGCTCACGAGTTGTGTGGGCTTGGCTATCCGACTTCAGCGATCGTATTGCGAAGGTCAGTTTCTTGTGGTCAGTGAGAATGAAGAAGCTTCTTCCCTCCAAGAGATGGCAAAAGTGGTGAAGCTCTTGTCCGAAGGTGCTGTATCTGCGCTTGGTGGGTGACAGTGTCTTGGAGAAAAAGGAGATGGGCTTCCAGATGTCGTTTTGCCATTGTTGAAGGACCGCTCCAATCGCAACTTCCGAAGCATCCGTCATGACGCACAGGGGAGCGTTGTCCTCGGGGTACACCAAAAGGGTTGCGTCGGCGATGTCTGCCTTGATTTTGGTGAGCATGCGCTCTGCTGTTGCATCCCAGGTCAAAGCGGCTGCCTCGCCGTGGCTCTTTTTGAGGATTTCTTGCAGCGGTTGGAGGGTTGTTGTGCAGTGGGGGACAAAACGCCGATAAAAGTTGTCGATTCCGAGGAACTCCCGCAGCTGGCGTCGTGTTGACGGTCGAGGAAAGTTGCAGATCACCTCAACTTTCACGGGAAGTGGACGTAATGCCTTGGTGGTCAATGTGGTGTCCCAAGAAGTCCAGCTAACCTACCGTATTTACCCGAAAATAGGTCGACCACGAAAATAAGTCGACCCCTATTTATTGAGCCCACCGAGAATAAAAAAATAATTCAAATATAGGTCGACCTTTTTTTTTTTTTTTTTTTTTTTTAAGCAACAGGGGAAAGTTAGGGCAAAAGAAACAAACCCTTATTTACAGCACTCTCAGCTAAATCACAGGGCGATGTCAAAAACTTATTCATCGTCAGAACTTCCGCACATATCGTTGTCCGAAGCTTCGTCAGCTTAATAGACATCCTCGCAAATTGGCAACAATACCTCACTGGCACCGTTGTAAAATGACGACAAGAAGACACAAAAGAAGGTGGAGACGGGCGAGCGACGAAAGACCAAATACAAAGACACGAGCAACGGTGCGAGCCCCGTGAGCAACTCGCGACCCGCCGAAAAAAAACAAAAACAAAAAAAAAACTTTTGTTGTTTTTTTTTCCTTTTTTTTTTTTTTGCGCGCGTTTGCGAGGAAGAGAGGAATGGAGCGCATAGGAGGGCAAAGTGCACGGCGCATCGCGTTCCTCTCTCTCCCCTTCCCCCTTGCCCAGCGAGGGGAACGCTCCAGGCATGATGGCGAAACCGAAGCCTGACGCCCGAGGAATGTGCGCGAGAGCCCTAGCCGGCGGCCACGGGCTGTCGGCTGCTGCTGTTTGGTTGTTTTTGTGCATCAAAAGCTTTTTGAAACAAGAAGCCGCGCGGCTCTACCGCAACGCCGGCTAGGTGATTGATAGCTCCATACCTCCGGTAGGGTTTCAAATTTTGGTCGGCGAATTAGGTCGAAATTCTTTGGTCATGATTATAGGTAGACACTTAATATTTTACAACATTTCCGAAAAAAAAAGGTCGACCTATATTCGAATGAATACGGTACACCGAACTGACACTTGGCGGTGTTGATGATGATGCCGTAGGTCTTGCGACGCTCGAACACAGTTTGGAGGTGTTGTTCATGCTCGGCAGGTGAGGAGCTTGTGATGAGGAGGTCGTCGACATAGGCACAGCAGAAGGTTAGTCCCCAGAGTACCTCGTCAATAAACCTCTGAAAGGTTTGGGCGGCATTCCGAAGACCGAACGGCATCCGGACGAATTCGTATAGTCTGAATGGCGTGATGATCGCGGTCTTCGGCACGTCTTCCGGGGCGACAAGGATTTGGTGAGAAGTGCGCATCAAATCAATCTTTGAAAAGATGCATGCTCCGTCGAGGCTGGATGTAATGTCTTGGATGTGGGGGATCGGATAACAGTTGGGAGCAGTGACGCGGTTTAATGCGCGGTAGTCGCCGCATGGTCTCCAGTCTCCGGCTGTTTTCTTTTGTACCATGTGCAGTGGAGAGGCCGATGAGCTTGACGACGGTCGCACGATGCCCAATTCAAGCATGTGCTGGAATTCCTGTTGAGCAATTCGCAGCTTGTCAGGGGCGAGACGACGCAGTCGAGCATGGACGGGTGCTCCGGTGGTTTCAATATGGTGAGAAACGCTGTGCTGCGCAGGGTGTTTGTCACAGCCAGTGCGCGTCAACTCCGGGAACTCGCGCAAGATGGTTGTGAATTGTGTTGGGGCGTTAGGAATGACATGCGCCGGAGCTGGAGAAGGCACTGCGGATGATACGCCCGACACGGAGAGGTTAGTTATCGTGTCAAGGAGACGCCTTCGTCCTATGTCCACCAAAAGTCCAAAGTGTCGGAGGAAGCCGGCACCAATGATGGCATGTTGCACGTCCGCGACGACGAACACCCAGCGGAAGGTCCGTCGGAGACCGAGATTCAAGGTTAGCGAACGCTCACCGTAGGTGGGTATTGGCGTCCCGTTCACAGCTTGGGGCTGCGAGGTGCTGGACATCCGCTTGTCTTTAAGTGTTGCCGGTAGTATGCTGACCTCGGCACCGGTATCCACGAGGAAGCAGAGCCCGGTGTCGCGGTCGGGGACGTAAAAGAGGCGTTGGCGGCTGTCCGGAGTGGCCGAGGCACTTACCGCATCTAGTGCTCCGCCGTTCCGTTTCTCGTATAGTGGCAGGGTGTGGTGCACTTAGTGGCATTATCGCCAAAGCGGCGGTGGTACCAACAGATGTCAAGTCGTGCTGGTGAAGAGGATGGGCGGCGCTGTTGGGACCGCGACTAGCTACGTCCGCGATGTTGCTGCAGGGTTGCGACGGCGGTTGTCAAGTGGGAGATCTCCGCGCGGAGCTGTTGTATCTCGTCCGTAGGAGTTTGGACGACCGATACAACCGGAGTCGAAATCTCCATCAGCTTGTCGGCGAGCTCTGCCAGCTGTTCAATCCCGAGGTCTCCAACGGACGCCAAGATCATGTGCACATTGTGGGGCAGACGCTGGACGAACAGGTTCCGCAGGAACGAAGCATCGATTGTAGATGCCTTCTCACCCATCAGCTGCTGCATGCGGCGCAAGAGCTGGGTAGGTTGGCAATCACCAAGTTCCTCGGTGGTCAGGAGTTATTGTAACCGTCTTTCTTCAGAAGCTGTTGTGCGGCGGATCAGCTGCCGCTTGAGGGTGGCATAGGCATTCGTGGGGGTGGTTGCTGGAGGAGCAGGTGGCGTACCTCGGTGGCGATGTCTGGTGGAGGGCTGGCCACGATGTGATGACACTTGGTGCGATCATCGGTGATCTTCCGAGTCGCAAACTGCGCTTCCACTTGTAAAAACCACAGCTCGGGATCCGCAGGCCAGTACGGTGGGTGCTTAAGGGCGACGACGGAGACGCCATCTGCAGGGGGCACTGAGGTTGAGGAGTTGGAAGAAGCATTTTCTTCTTCTTGATTCATCGCAGCGCTTGAGGTCGGCTTTTTCGTTAGTCCGGGTCACCAATGTAGTTTCAAATAATGTTCTACTGAACTCGTTATATTTTTCTGAGGGACTACACAAGAATAACAACATTAAAACTACGAGGAATGTTCCTGCGTCCTAACCGGGCGCTGCTCGCAAGGCGTCTGCCCTCTTCTTCTCTCCTCTCTTGCCGTGGGGGCGACTTGAGTTGTTTCGTCTACCCTCACGGAGGTCTGGCCGTCTGGCCCGCAACCGGGCCCCCGAGCTGGTGTCTGGTATCCCCGGTGCGTGCCAGCCTCCTCCGCGGCTTGAGGGAGCGTGTTGCGGGGAAGACAATGCTGTCGCTGCAAGCCTCTACAATACCAATTTCTACATTATTATTAATAGCATCTTTCCAATGCATTCCTGTAGGTATGAAGACATTTGAGATGTTTGCTGCCTCTGTCCCTGCAAAGTTCTTCCCAGTACTTGACAATTGATGACAAATGACAATTGAGTCGACAAATGGGCAGACAGAAACATTTTAAAACAAAACAACTAAAAAAAGGAGCGTTGCTGGCGTCAACGGCAGCGTAGCAAGGGGGTTGAAAATTGGAACAAGACTGACCCTCCGCAGTGCAGCTTGTCTTAAGACTTCTCAAAAGCCTAGAACATTCAACCTCGATTGTTCTGGAACTATACATTGTGAGCATGTACAAACTACATGATTCTCAAAGATTCTAGAAACTTGTATTAACTTGGGGAAAGATAAAAAATGAAAGTGGTTTACAACTCCCTGTAACGCCTTGAGGAGGAGGATGGAAGGGTCTGAGGGATAAGCGACTCACTGAGGTAACGTGACCTCAGGGGGTCACGTGACATCAGGGAGGGTCACGTGACCTCGGGAGGGGGGTGGTCACGTGACCTGAGGACCTCGGGTCACGTGACCTTCTGAGGTCGTCACGTGACCTCGCGTAACCTCACGGGGGGTCACGTGACCTCACTGTTACGCCGACGGCGACGCCGCTCAACCTGGAAACGGGCGCCTAAGAGCTGCACTCTAAAACAATGGGCGATGGTCGAGACCGTATTTCACCCACCTGCACGGGAGTCAAGCATGCTGCCGACTTGGCTACGCCGATTTGGCTGCGCAGACGGCAAAATTGTTTTCCTCGGTCGCAAACTGACAATTGTGGAGGGCAGGAGAGCGTCTCCTGCTATTTCACATGAGGAAACTTTTAAGACAACCACTCCGATGAAGCGTATTTAGGTTCCACCAGTGTGCGTGACGTCTTCTTGCAGGAGGGCTTCCTGACATCCATGCGCAGCTCTGAGCTGGGCCTCGACGCAAGTGCACAGTCGACCGGAATCAGCAAGGCTCTCAGGTGAGGACGACTGGCTCCTGGCGTAGCTGCGAGCTTTGTTGTATGGTTGAGCCCACTTGTATCCAACAATAGGGAAATAGTTCGATATATAGAGCATTGCAGTCGACACAGTTGCAAGCTAACTTGCGGACCGCCGGCACTTCACCATTGATCGGAACACTTTGTCAAAAAGGTGCCGTATTGATTTGAATAAAGTCGACCTAGAATTGTGACCAGAAAATTTCTACTTACATTCGCGACCAAATTTTGGGACCCTACCGATTGCATGGGGCGATTGAGTCACCGAGTCGGCGTAACGCCGCACTGTTCCTCATTTCAGAAAACTAAGTGCACGAAAACAACCGAAACAGAACAACCGGCGGCCTGCCGTGGCCACCGCTTGCGCCTATCCCTCAGGTGTCAAGTTTCGCCAACATGACGCACAACACGCCACGCACGTTGCCCCACTGCCTTGCCCCCTCCCTTCCCCTCTTCCCCTTGCAGACGTGCAGCAAAACTAAACACGGGGGTTACTTTCGCTTTTGGTTGCTCGCGGCGTTGCTCACATCTTTGTATGTGATCTTCTGTCACTTCGCATATCTCCATCTTTCGTTTCTAGTCTCCATTTTGTGACGGTGTCAGTGAGGTATTGTTGCGAATTTGTGAGGATATCGACGAAGCTTCCGACGACGATGACGTTTTTGGAAGTTCTGACTATGATGAGGTTTTTGGCATTGCGCTGTGATTTAGCTGAGAGTGCTATAAATGAAGGTTTGTTTTTCTTTTGCGCAAACTTTTTTCTGTTTTTTAAAAAAAATAGTCAACCTATATTGGAATTATTTTTTTCTTCTCGGCGAGTTTAAAATAAAGGCATCGACCTATATTGGAGTAAATACGGTAACCATTATTTATTGGGTGAAAAAGAACCGCATAAGTGCATTTTCATGAACGTACCTGGTAACGGCCTGCTCCACAGTCTAAACAGTCGACTGGGTCAAATCTCCTACCCTTCATGGCACTACAGTAGCGACTGGCAGGGCCACTGAACAAAAGTGCTTTGGAAGCCGGGCCTTCCAAAATGAACTAGACGTTCCATAGGCTTTGCTCAGCCCCCCCATTTGTTGAACCAAACGACGCACTCGTACTGGCTTAACCAGTGGTCCACATCTTTGTAAAGGTCCCTGTTGAAAGTCACCGGCGTCCGTGGCGGGGCCTGCACATAGAAGATGGAGGTTGGTAGTGTTCCGTCTTGCTGCAACGTGGTGCTCATTGTGGCCGTAGTCCTCGTTGGCTTCGACGGTAGAGGGACAAATTCCAGGGGCAGGCCTTGGGCACCGTGGCTGGTCCGGGTTTCAGGTTCGTCAGCTGGGATAAGCTTCTCGGGACTTGAGAAAGATAGAGCCTGAGGGGTATGTTTTATTGGCATGGAGCGTGGTACCCAGCACCTTTAGCAAAATGTCACGAATGACAATTAATGAGATGATGAATGACTGCGGAATCTGATCATTTAATGGGGGTGAACTTGTGACCAAAGCAAAATAGGAAAAGGCTAGCGTCGATGGCAGCGTAACAGCAAAATCAAGCGCTGGGGCGAGATCGACTCCGGCTTGCCACGTGGAGCTCCTATGTACACGGGTGGGCTTCTGGAAAATCGGCAAAGAAGGTTCGGCGTGTAGAACATTCGGACCTCGAATAAAGAACTATGTCCTCAAATTTACCATTACGCGACATTTACAGAAATAACAAAAAAGTCGGAAGACACCTAAGCACTTCTTATGAGTCGTGAATGCGAAAGCATGAATGTCCGACGATGTGGATTCTAGAGGCGGCGGCATGTTCGTCGGTGTCGAGACAATCGGAAGCACTGGCGACCATGTAGATTCTAGAGGTGGTGCCATGTTTGTCGGCGTCGAGACAATCAGGAGCACCGCTGGCAATGTGGATGCTAGAGGCGGCACCATGTTTATTGGTGTCGAGACGATCAGAAGCACCGTCGAAGATGTGGATTCTAGAGGTGGTGCCATGTTCGTTGGCGTCGAGACGATCAGAAGCACCGCCGACAATGTGAATGCAAGAGGCGGCGCCATGTTCGTCGGCATCGAGACGATCAGAAGCACTGCCGACGATGTGGATTCTAGAGGCGGCGCCATGTTCGTAGGCGTCGAGACAATCAGAAGCACCGCCAATGATGTGGATTCTAGAGGAGGTGCCATGTTCGTCGGCGTCGAGACGATCAGAAGCACCACCGACGATGTGAATGCTATAGGCGGTGCCATGTTCGTCGGCATCGAGTTGATCAGAAGCATTGCAGACGATGTGGATGCTAGTGGCGGCGCCATGTTCGTCAGCGTCGAGACGATCAGAAGCACCGCCGACGATGTGGATGCTAGAAGCGGCACCATGTTCGTCGGCGTCGAGATGATCAGAAGCACCGCTGCCGACGTGGATTCTAGAGGCGGCGCCATGTTCGTCGGCGTCGAGACGATCAGAAGCACTGCCGACAACGTGGATTCTAGAGGCGGCACCATGTTCGTCGGCGTCGAGATGATCAGAAGCACTGCCGACAACGTGGATTCTAGAGGCGGCGCCATGTTCGTCGGCGTCGAGACGATCAGAAGCACTGCCGACAACGTGGATTCTAGAGGCGGCGCCATGTTCGTCGTCGTCGAGACGATCAGAAGCACTGCCGACAACGTGGATTCTAGAGGCGGCGCCATGTTCGTCGGCGTCGAGACGATCAGAAGCACCTCCGACGACATGGATTCTAGAGGCGGCGCAATTTTCGTCGGCGTCGATACGATCAGAAGCTCCGCCGACGACGTGGATTCTAGAGGCAACACCATGTTCGTCGGCGTCGAGATCAGAAGCACCGCCGACGATGTGGATTCTAGATGTGGCGCCGTGTTCGTCGGTGTCGAGACAATCGGAAGCGCCGCCGTATATGTGGATGCTAGAGGCGGCGCCATGTTCGTCGGCGTCGAGACGATCAGAAGCACTGCCGACAATGTGAATGCTAGAGGCGGTGCCAGTTTGTTGTCGGCGAGACAATCGGAAGCGCCGCCGACGATGTGGATTCTAGAGGCGGCGCCATGTTCGTCGGCGTCGAGACGATCAGAAGCACTGCCGACAATGTGAATGCTAGAGGCGGTGCCAGTTTGTTGTCGGCGAGACAATCGGAAGCGCCGCCGACGATGTGGACTCTAGAGGCGGTGCCATGTTCGTCGGCATCGAGACGATTAGAAGCACTGCCGACAATGTGAGTGCTACAGGCGGCGCCAGTTTGTTGTCGGCGGGACGAGCAGAAGCACCGCCGACGATGTGGATTCTAGAGGCAGCGCCATGTTCGTCGGCGTTGAGACGATCAGAAGCACTGCCGACAATGTGAATGCTAGAGGCGGCGCCAGTTTGTTGTCGGCAGGGTGTCGAACCGGAACCGAACCAAAAACCGGAACAGAACCGTTATTTTTAGCCGAACCGGAACTGAACCGAACCGAAATCTTCGCCGCCATCTTGGAAGTGAACCGGAACTGAACCGGAAAAAAATATAACGGTAACCGGTTCAAAACGGTTCACTGTATTTTTTTTTTGTTAGTATTACAAATTTATTATTTGGGAATAAAAAAATTGGCACGTGTATTCCTCTACGTATTGATCAAATCGTGATATACAGAATTGCAATGTATAATAAATCCTGGTTTTTTGCGGCGCTTTCTTATTGGCACTATGATTAGGCATGTGTCACATCGTCCCGTGACGTCATGATGTCAAGGCATGTTGTCAATTAATGTCACATCACGTGACCCCGTGACGTCACGTGACTCACTGCGTTAAGTCGATTCAAATTGAGGACGTCGCTAGATCTATTAACGTTGTTGATACCGTGACGTCACATGACATCACAACTTCGCACTGAGAGTCACGTGACACCATGATGTGCCCGATTGTCGTGATCCCGAGTCGAATGCTCTGGTTCATGACAACCAGCATCGCCAAACATTTGGGTAACGACTCGTGTTCAACTCAAAGATTATGATGGGCCCGAGTCCCACTAGAGCTAGAAACAGAAACAAACGACAGCGACAAGCCTCAGAGACATGCAGCATGTTCGCGATGGTACCTTTATACGGCTTTGAGTTGTTCGGTGCTCGCGAAGTTAGCACGAGCGTTTACAAGCTTGCAAATGGTACCATCGTGTGCATAATACTCGTGTTTGAGCATAGCCTTCTTTATTCTACAAAGCCTGTCAAATCGCGAAATACTCTGGTCTAAGGCTAGCCGCTGTCGTTTGTTTCTGTTTGGCGCTTTAGTGGGGCTCGGGCATTATGGCCCAACTAAAACTATAACTGAAGATCAGCCCATGCTCTCTGCTTTGCCAACCCTGCGTATGACTATGATAAACACTGACGGTGTATATATTAGGACCAGATCACGTGGCTCATAGTCCAGATTGCGAGTTGAGGAGGGGAAAGCTGTTTCATTTCTTTCTTTCGACTGTTTGCCATTTCGCGAAGGGGCAAACTAATGGATGCTTTTGCAAGTTATCAACGTCAGGGATTACATCTTAGCGGTATTTATTGAACTTAAGGTAAAAAAAAATGCTGCACGACCCATTTTACATGTATGCACACCATTGAGGCTCCCAAACATGTTTTCGTTATTGCTGAACTGCCCCAGAAAGTTGTCCCGAGAATAGAAGTGTTAAAGGGTCTAAATGTGACGTGTTAGTCCGACGTTACATGGAACTATTAGTGTGTACGGGAGGGATACCTGAGAAGAAAGATCCTAGTGGCCTCACGCCGGGGACAGCCGAACGTTGGCAGCCGCTCTAAGTCTCACAGGAGTGTCATTCTCAAGTTCTCCAAGTTTCGACCGCCCTGTATTTTGTTTAAACTTCAAAGTGTGGTGCAAAGTAAAAGCAAGGAAGAATTACTGTTAACAAGTGACACAAATATAATTGTGGAGTGAACAGCACTCAATACGGAGCAGGCAATCCCTAAGGAATAAAAAGTATCTTGAGGAGC